TCTCGGACTACTATATTTGTTATTCACAGTTCGTAAAGCAGTCTTCCATATACACGACTGTAGTACCCAGTACTTATTCCGGCATTGGATTTAGTGCATGGCGTAAATGAGCATTGTCTGATCTCCTTTTCAAATACCTATCACCCGCCAAAAGAGTGGATTTAAATTAAGGGCGTGTTTAAATAGAAAGGTAGGTAGCTAAGTATCAATCGAGAAAATGTAATACCGGAAGTGAACATTTTACCGACGTGGTTCAAAAACATATTAAAATAAATACCACGGGTGAACACAAACGATTCTTACATTTACACTTGCCTGCATTTCTTGTAAAACAGTTCCGTATGTGGCAACGCGCCGCTTGCACATCCGGCAGCAAACTAAATCGTGCTGCACCTTCATTAGTCAAAACGGCCAACCGATGAGAGCGTAGCGTCCATGGCTGAAAACGTTTAAAAGCAAACCCCGAACACTGCAACGCAATTCCTGCTTCGACTGCGAATGGTTAAACGTAAAAAAAAATAGTTTTACTTTAAATGATAAAATACATGCAGGATATATATGTGACGCTTTACAAGCCTTAATTTTCAGTGGGCTCCAAAATGGCGGGCGAGCTTACGGACTAAGCTTACGGACGAGTCAGCATGGTATAACAATATATTAGCTATAGGTTGGCCTATAATGCAACTATTAAAATTCTGAATTATACGCCTACATTTTGACGTAGAGTGGTACCTCAGCTCTTATGCGAAATTTTTATAAGAAACCTATTTGTAGACCTACCTACGTTTTATTTCAAATTAAGTTATAAAGAAACCGATTTAATAATGCATATAGGTAAGCTTTAATTAAAAGTTGGATAGGACTAAGAAACAGCAATCTGTACTGCGTCATGCGAAGCCCACTCACCATTCCTTAATGCTCATAATAAACAGCTTGACCGTACCCTTTAATTAATATTCAAACTCTGTAAACTTTGGGATGAAAATTTAAGACATATTTAGTGGTAGGCATAGTGTCCGTTCATCGAGTTAGTGTATTCATATTGTTATGAGTAGGTATAGCATAAGTTCTCACCACACTGGTAGTTTCTTGAAAGTTAGTTGGAGTGGTTGAGAAACTATATTTTGGGACGGGCTATGAGACTTGTAAATTTATAAAGTGCTTTTGGTTGACTTGCACGCGTCGGTTATCATACTTCGTTTATGTAAATTCTTATTCCTAGTTTTGTTGAGAAGTAGGGACCTATACACATTTATTAGACCAACGTGCAAGTTTAATCAAACTTGAAAGCTGATATGTCGTCGTTTTTCAATACAGAAGGATATGAACTTACCAAAAAGTACACTCTTAGTACAAACTTTAGATGCATCTGTCGGCAGACAGAATATCATCTTTGAATTCATGCAAGCAACAAATATCTACGCCCGAACGCGGATTCGAACGAGAAACCCGTAATACCTCAGTCGAACTTCACCTATACTGACCAAATTATTACATACATTAAAAACTAAACACAGACAAACCAAAGTGCATTAACTGTGGAGGTGAACACGCAGCGAGCTACGGGGGATGCAGCCATCACATTGAGCTTCAACAAAAGCGCATGATAAACAGACCCATCTCAAACAACCCATATGTTAACCCAGCACAAACCTATGCCATAGAGTAAATAATACTCTATGCCTATGCTAATCGAACCTGAAACGTCCTAAACTCTAATTCCACTTCACCAAATCCAACAACCCATCCCACCGAACAAACCCAATCAGCAAGTCATATCAGTACTCTCCTAAACCTAATTACCCCCTTTCTTCCTCTAATCAAAGATTCAATTTTACCTTTATTGCAAAATGGACCTATACCTACATTAAAACCAATAGAAAAATTAACAATCCTTAATTGGAACGCTGATGGAATCATCAGACAACGCTCACTTTTCATAGCATTCCTGGCCAGATATAACATTGACGTAGCTTGTATCACCGAAATCCACTTAACTGAAAATGATGTTCTCAAAATATCAGGATATCATAATTACCGCAAAGATAGAAACGCAATTATTGCATCAGGGGGTGTTGCCATTATCGTCAAAAGAAAACTTGAACATACCAAACTTCCTGATCTACACAATATCAGTCTGGAAACCACCAGCATCAAACTACAACTCAGCAATCACAGCCATCTCACAATCCGGAGCACTTACAGACAACCTAACAAGAAACTTATCGAGGACGATCTAAAACAGCTACAAGAGAACAAACATTAATCATAGGAGACCTAAATTCAAAGCATAAACTATGGGGCTGCGGAGCAACCAATACGGAAGGCATCAAGCTAGAGCAATATTCTACTGAATAGACCTTCCAGATCATGCCTCCCGAAGAGTATACATATTATCCGTATCGTACCGATCACAAACCAGACATCCTGGATATTGTATTACAAACAAATTTCCCAAAACAACTAAGCCAAAGAGTAATACCCGAACTAAACTTGGACCACCTACCCGTCATAGTGTCCTTCCTAAGCATACCCCAACTAAGACAGCCTCCTCTTAAACTAATCAATGGGCCAATAAACTGGAAAGTTTTTCAAGATCAATTAGATGCAAATCTAAAGAAGCCTATAATAATCTAAACACTAACGAGGATATAAATTCTACGGTATCAGACATTACGAACTCAATAACTGAAACAGTAAAATCATCCATCTTAACCATCACCAGACGCTCATGGACGGACCACAATCGTCCTCCAAATTATATAATCAGTATGATTAAAGAGAAGAGCCAAGCAAGAAGACAATGGCAACGAACACGAAACCCTGAAATCAAGCGACAGCTAAACTATCTAACGCATCGTATTAAAAATGAACTGGACGCATACAAAATCGAATCATACAAAAAATACATCGCAGACATCGGCCCCGGAGATCCAGGGATGTGGAAAACCACTAAACGAATACTAAAACAGAACGACGAACTGCCAACCCTTACCTCTGGAACACACATACTTAGCACAGATGCCGAAAAATCCGAAGCGTTCGCTACTCACCTAGAAAAGGTATTCTCACCATTAAATATCTGCAACCTCACGCAAGCACTTCATATAACTAACCACATCGAAAGAAATCTTCCCATCCCCAAAAACATTGAACCCACATCACCCAAAGAAATAGTCCAACTCATAGCAGCTTTACCCAAACGAAAAGCACCTGGATATGACCTTATACCCAACATTGTACTTCAACACTTAACCAAGAAATGCCTAGCATATCTAGCCTCCCATGTTCAATAGATGTCTGCGAAAAGGCCAATTCCCCAGTAAATGGAAGCACGCACATATCCTCATGTTCACCAAGCCGGGCAAAAACAAACACGACATCAATAACTACAGACCTATAAGCCTACTAAACACTCTCTCCAAGGTCCTCGAAAAAATTATTTACACTCGATTATTGAAAGACATTGAAACACTACATTCCCTGCCACCTTCTCAATTTGGTTTTAGGAGAGGGCACTCAACATGTCACCAGCTCCAACGTGTCAGCGAAATTATATCAACTGGATTTGAAAATAAGTGTTACACCACAATGGTCCTTCTCGACGTAGCACAGGCCTTTGATAAAGTTTGGATCGAAGGTCTGAAGAAAAAGATCCTGGATCTGAGCATTCCTAGCTACCTGCAAACAATAATCTTCTCCTTCCTTGAACATCGAACATTTGCAGTTAAAGTAAATTCTTACACGTCACAAATCAAAGCAATTCACGCTGGCGTTCCACAAGGAATCATCTTTGGGGCGGGGGGCCACTTCTCTTTAATATCTTTACAGCAGACATACCAACAGTAACAGCATCCCTAGCCATATTTGCCGACGATACTGCCATCATTACACAGAGACCAATATTGGAAGAAGCAGTTCACGAATTACAGGATGCCGTAAATAAAATTATTAAGTGGTACAACAACTGAAACATCAGAATCAACCCAGCAAATTGCAAGGTAAGATATTCGCTCTGAGAAGAATTATTGACCCACCCAACATCGAAATAAGCGGAGTTATCATACCATGGAACCCAAAGGACAGTGCCGTCAAATATGTTGGAGTTCATTTAGATACACGTCTCACCTGGAGTTACCATATACTTAAACCAAAAACTCTCCCAAGGCAACAATCGACTAAGACAGCTTTATCCGTTAACAAATCGAAAGTTCTCACTCAAACCCGAATCCACTACGTTGCTATACAAGACCTTATTACGACCATTAATACTCTACGCTAGATCGATTTGGCTCAACACCTCCAAAACCAACATTCAGAAATTTCAGCGATTTCAAAACAAAATCCTTAGGACTGCTGTAAACGCCCCTTGGTACATTCGCAACAATCAGCTCCACTACGAATTCGAATGTGCAAAGAAGTGCAAGTGCGTGCGACGGTGCAGTGTTTATCAATCTTTGCCAAAAAAACTTATTCATTAGATTAAAACGAAAAATGCCGCAAGATCTTATAGCTTCCGAAGACGATAGTGATTAAGCCAATCCTTTAAATGTTATACATTCAATTTTTATAAATTCGCTAGATCCGTCAGAGACATTACAATAAGTCTTGTCATTATTCTCGTCATTTTCTGTCTTTACTGTCATAAATGTCATGTATAACACTTGTATGTTGATCTGACAATACACGATTTAATTTAAAAAAAAACATATTTAATACATGCAGAATGCTGTAGAATTCAATTGGAAGTGGCAGTAATAACCTCTGGAATACCTAAACACTCGTTAATAACAGAGGCGTTGAGGTCATAAGAGGCTTTGTCTATGGCTGAAGTAGTTTCTTTTAATATTTATTTAAAATGTTACTTTTTAATTGTCCAAAAAGTGAGCTAATATGGAAGGCCAGTGATTAGTTGAGCATAGGCAACCAACATATCACCAAAGTACATTGCGTCTTGCGATGCTTTGACTACTATTTTGCGTAAGAGTGTAACGTAGCATTTTATTTACGTGCTCTAATAATTCGCATGTTCGTATGGAAATAAATTACTTTTTCAAAATAAGTAACACTGGGGGCGGGCGACGTCTTTTTTCTCACCCTGTATTGAAATGGCAATTCACCGCGTATGTCAATAAGATATAACCTTACTTTCACTGTCATTGTGTTTGTAAACAATCAAGTTAAAAGCCTAAAAAATTTGATTATTTTTAATAAGGTCACTTTGCCCGTAAATATGTTGTCCGTAGATTGATAACATTTTGAAAAATGGCAACATTCAACGTTATACAAGAAGGTCCAGTAAACGCATTGGCCCTAAATCGAGATAATACGCAGGTTGCAATAGGAGGCAGAAATGGCAAGTATGCAAACAGGAGTACGTTGGTACTTACAATGCACTTTGCAGTTTTTAAAGTATACTCCATCGAAGAAGATCAGTTTAAGGAGATTTACAATTTACGGTCTTCTAAGCATCTGAACTTGAGCTTTTCGTGCAACGATATTTCCTGGAGCTCCACTGATGGTCGGCCTCTTGTATTATAGCAATCTGTAATTATTTGAAAGTTGTAGATAATTACTTAGCAACGGCAGCTACAAACGGTCATGTTTGTGTGTGGAATTTAACAAAAATGGGAAAGGCAATGCAAGAGCAAGACTACCAAGAGCATACGCGAACCGTTAACAAGGTCAATTTTCATTCATCTGAACCAAATCGGTTGATATCGGGCTCTCAAGATGGTACAATGAAGTACTTCGATATTCGTTGCAAGACGTCGGTCGCCACATTTGTAAGGTTTGGAGAAAGTCTTGGTTGTACGAAAATGCTTTGAGGTTCTTGTAGCAATACCGAAAGCGTAAGGGATGTTCAGTTTAGTCCTCATACGCCGCATACGTTTGCTGCCGTTTCAGAAAACGGTAGTATACAGTTGTGGGATATTCGTAGACCGGAGAAATGCCAACATCAATTTACTGCACACAGCGGGCCTGTTTTTGCATGTGATTGGCATCCAGAGATGACATGGTTGGCAACTGCAAGTCGGGATAAAACAATTAAGGTCGGTATTGAAATGTCCAGGTAGGTACATATAATTGAAGTCACGAAAGGTGGACACTGTGCTGACATGTAATAGAGAATAAAGAACTCGTTTGAAATTCATTGACAAACTAGTGATGTGGGGCTCCTCTTTCATGAATTCTACTGTAGTAGTCATTTTTGTGGTGTTTTGACTTGATTGTAAACTACAAATTATTATTATAATTACAATTATAATTTGACAAAATCAACAAATAACGCTGTAAAAAAGAAAGGCGCTCAGAACCTACAAAGTACCACGCACATGCGATCGATTGAAAGAAATTAAATTTAAAAGAAAATTCTAATTACCTTGAAGAGTTAATTAATCCTAACATCCGGTCATAACTGTAATTTTCTTTAACATACTGCAAAAACACAAACACCAACTAATGTTGCTTCTGAATCTTCATTTCTTCAATTTCCCTTGATTTAAACAAACTGTCTTTGTTGTAATTTCAAATGAATAGTGACCTTTTGGTGGTGGATAACTTCACTTTATAGGATACTTGGAAAAACCTTGAAGAAAGGTCCCACTTATGTGATTACTACTCAATAGACACTACTTCTCCGTATACATGACACTACGCTTGACCTGTTCCCATAACCTCTTACCAATATTTTGCGCAAAAAGTATGTGCAGTATAAAATTGTAAGTATTCATTTTCGCTTCAGGTATGGGATTTGGGCAGCAAACCAAGCCTAGAATCCACAATCCACACAATAGCGTCAATAGGGCATGTAAAATGGCGACCACAAAGAAAGTTTCATATAGCTAGTTGCGCTTTAGTTGTCGATTGTAGCATTAACGTGTGGGATATTCGAAGACCATTTATACCGTTTGCGTCTTTTAATGAGCATAAAGATGTAGCAACGGGCGTTGTTTGGCGAGGGGATCCAAAAGTATTTTTGAGCAGTAGTCGAGTAAGTGGTTATTAGCAGCTCTTTCCTTTTACTTCGGAAGCAAATACAAATTGCATTAGCTCTAAATACTAAAATTTACACTCGATATTGTTGTGGACTTATTATCAATAATGTTTGTATGATTTCTGTGTAATGAAACTTTGTACTTATATTCCAATATGCATTGTTTATTTGGTCACTTTGTTTGCTTTTCAATGCAGTTATGCGGAGATTTATTGTTTAAGAATTGGTTTGGGAAAATACCAGACTTGTTTCCGAAAAGTATATTGGAAAAACACAACTTTTATTTAATTGACTTAGTTTGACACTAATGAATAATAATCTAGGATTGTACAGTATTTCAACACGCGTTTAAAGACGCAAGCAGGCCGGCAAGTAAAGCCAACCCGCAAGGAATGTGTTTAAATAATAGTTCCGAAATTTTGTACGCGTGTCGAGTCAGTGCTAACGCGAATCTTATTTATAAAATGACAGGATTCATAAGGTTTTTGTCTACGTTTGGACGTACCGTATTATGTATTCAAATATTTTAGAAAGTCATCATCAACCAACTTGACCACTAGTGACCAGTTTCACCAGGCGTCTAGTACTGTGCATCAATTTAAAACTCATCTTACTCAGGAAACGAAATGCTTCTATTCGTTAGCTTCGAATTATATGATGAGTGGCAAAAGTGTGTCGGAAATGTGTGAGCATAACGCAACAGTTGCGCAAGAACACGGTAAAAATTATGTAAGCCACCAGGATCCAATTCTTGTTTGAGTCAAATCAACGGTTGTAGGTATCAACAGTGTGGCGCATTTTGAAAACAATTTACGGCGACGAATACAATCGCAACTCCAGCTTATATCTATCAAAAAATAACGACGATTCAATATCACACAATAATATAGTGTTAGATCCTAGTACTGATACGGATAAACAATCAAAAGGGGGCGACACTCCTGGTGCACAATTTAGTGGCGGAGACGACACTGAAGCCGAAGATCAAGTCGATCATTCAGCGCCATACGGTAGCGCTTTTACTTCGTACTCAAACTTTAGGCTAGGATTACCCAGAGGTGATTTCTTTTTCGGCGATAATGAGTTAGATGTGGAACTTGATGGACTCAATTCTAGTAAGTATATAAGCAAATCGGCCACAAAAGTAATCTTTGAAAAGTTCCAGATATACGAAATGGCATTCGCAGTACTCCTCAAATTATAGACCAACAAGACTGGACCTTGCCCAATGAGGCATTTAATATCAGACATGAAATTCAAAATCATTCTCCTCCACCGGAACAGTTCCCAAATCAAAATTCACCAGACACCAATGACGAAACACCACTACACGCCGAAGACGGAAGTGCAGCATTTTTAACCATTCCCAAAGCTCCAATGCGTTTTGAATGGAACCCTAGTAATATTTTAATATCTGCTCTTAAATACCATGCAACATTAGGCGATGTGCAGACAGCAGCTGTTATATTAATAGTTATGGGTGATCATAGAAGGCTTTTAAAGGATCTCGACGAAAGCACCCAAGAACACTGGTTATTGGGGTACATAGAATTGTTGGGTAGATATCGGTTATGGAATATTGCTGCACAGGTAAATTTGGATTTCAACCACAGCAGTCTGTACTTATGTGTATTTTAGGTTATCAAATTGTCATGGCTACCAAGTGTCACTCAGCTAAACCAACAGTCCACAAGAATCAATACTAACTGCGGAAATTGCAGCAAACCGCTGCAAAGGGCTGGATGGGTTTGCGATCGTTGTCACACTTCTGAATATGCCTTGTGTAGCATCTGTCATCAGGTTGTAAAGGGCCTATATGCTTGGTGTCAAGGTTGCTCCCATGGCGGCCATCTGGCTCATATACAACAGTGGATGAGTAAACATAAAGCTTGCCCTACAGGATGTGGGCATTTGTGTGAATATAGTTAAGGATGAATAATTATTTATTTTTTCCAATAAAGTGTTCCTATTGTGTATTTATTTATTTAGTGATTGATGACATGTAGAAATTCACCTGAACACCAATTTGAAGAATTTAAAATATTATTGTACCTGTTAAATTTTAGTATTTAAGCCAAAAGTGAAGGCAATCTTAATCGTTGTATACTCTCATAGGGAGTGAAAACATTGTATATAGCAATGTTCCTTTGGGAATGGAAAACCAACAATCTAGGTACCCATGTCAGTGACTGATATCGCAGATATACCATTGAGTAACTAACCCTTCACTCAACGGATATACCCAACAACAGGTTGCTAACCTTATGCATTTCCCGAGTAACGCATTTAGATACAGTTAAAAACGCCCTTTAGTGAGCAGTAGTGTAAACATGTACTGTTTAAAACTAAAATGACGCTTGTGGATTTATGCTTTAGATGTCGCTGCAAAAAATTAAAGCGAATGAATAGTTCCATTGTTCAATAAAACAATGGTGACTCATCTTACCACCTGTCCAACAATATCAATGTAATAATAATAATACGAGTACCAATAATAAGGAATTCGAATTGTGCTAACTTTTCACTTTAAATTTCTAACATCTAATGCATAAGTGTCATTTTATGGTTTACCAGTTTACCAATCAAATATTAGACACTGTTGTACCTATACCCTCAGATGGTATAATTATATTCCATTGATAGGTATAGCCACCTATTTACTTGCAATAAGGAGCATCTGAGCCAGCATACCTAACACAGCCAGATATATGTTTGGCACCGTAAGTAGAAGACTGCACATGCGCAATAGCATCCCAATGTAAACAGCTGAAACTATAGGCGGCGCAAAACAGGAGCACTTGATATAAATTTATGAAGCACATATTTTGTTAAGTTACCCATGGACTGAAATTGCATTTTTTGTACTACGTTCACCACAAATTAAACACAGCATGTGAATTGTTACTTTCGCAAACACTACTTGTATTTCTACTGTAATACCGTAAAGGAATAAGGAACCGCATGCAGCCCGACTTACCACTGTATATGTTTATTTTGCGTCCTGTGCAGGTTGCAGAACTTGCATCCTAGTAATACGAGAAATTAAGGGGCCCTCTAATTAACATTTCCTCTATATGTTTTTCTTGAGCGATAATAGACTCTCACATGAATCCTTGCTACTGGCATTCGCAAATATACTTTTTGAGGTAAATTAATTTATGTTAACCGAGATTGGAATAGGACAACGCCATTTTGATGTTTCTTATGTACATGCAATTTATTATTTTACGAGTTTTATCTCAATTGGTCGTACATGTATTTTAATGTGTTTTTATACTAAATTGATTTATCATGTTTTCCACTTGCATTTATATGGTGTCTTGTTTTTATGCCCTTTAACGTACGATTCTGGAAATTGTGGATCTTAACATGCACATGGAACAGATTCAATAAATTGATATTAATTTAAAGGTAAATCCTTAAAAGTTTGCCGTGTGTGAAGCACCTTGCAATCTGTTCAAGTCTGAGTTAACCCAAAAAGGCACCATTGTACAGTGAATTAGTCTTTACCTTGAAACTAACGGAAAGTTTCAAAAATTCCGTAAAAACTAGCTGATTCCATTTTATAATTTAGAAGATGGAAGTAACATCAACAGTTTTACATAGACCCAAGTGGTTTTGCAAAAGATTGTTTATTTATTTAGTATGAAGCTTTTATACAGATATTTTAAAATGCAAAAAATACAACTTTGAATTGCTTAACAATAACACAAAAATTTATGTCAAGACATTTCACATGACAAAAATGAGTAAAAATGTACGAGTATTTTGTACAAATTAAACGGTATTACATTTGAATGCAAGTTTTGTAACATAAAGTGCGTTAATAACTACTAATATCTAATTAAATTATATATCTCTACTACATAAATAAATATATTATCAACAAAGTACTTAAGTAATTTATTTCAGTACTGGAGGAAATGATACAAAATAGTGATGTACTAACAGAAACCAAATAAATCGGTACATATTTCATGTATGATAATTGTTACACTTCAACTCCATCGTCCTATATAAATGTCTCAATTATAATTGAATTTATCTTAACCGCAGTCAAATATTTTTAAAGTAATCTAATGATTTTAGATATGATGTATAAATACTAAGAAATGAAGATTCTTTGTGGTAAAGGCACTGGTTTTTTAATGAACACGTGCTAATTCTAGCGGTACCCAGTTTTCTTAATGAGAGTATGCATTTACCGATTTCTTTGGTTTCCTCGTTACGGTTCTACAAAATGCATCAACAATACATAAACACTACATTCACATCTCGGTTACCTACACGGTAAGTGCAACCACGATCATACAAAAAAAGCGTCAGTCATGGAAAAATAATTTAAATCCATAGCTCTTGATTTTTTATGTGGGTAAGTAGAAATTAAACAAAAACGTGGAAAAGCTTCACAAGCTAATTCACACCCTGACAATTTTTTGTAAAACGGTTTAAGCACTTTTGAGGAAAGTACAATTTCGACATTTACAAATAAAAGATAAAACATTTATGAAAATATAAGCTGTCCCGATCATACATTGGTGGACATCATGAACAATCGTGCCTCACAGGGTTATACATCAAGCACTATTGTTTCCCATTGACATAATTTTTGTTTAACTTATTTAAAGCAAAAAGGAAAATTGATTTAGCACTTAACTACAGAATTACACATTTTATTTTCTTCCGCTTATTTTTATCCTTTCCCCTGCCGTTGTTGGTTTTGTTCTCTTCCATCTTTCGAGCGCGAATTTCCCTCATTAAATCGAAAAATACCTAGCGAGTAATGTCATTAGAATCAAGATATTTCGTGTTTAAATCGTACTTTGTCAACATGTTCCCTGGTTTTCGCAGAAGTTTCGACGTATGTCACTCCCCACTGCTTGGCTCGATCGCTGGCTTCTTGGTAAGTTACTTTTCTACGTTCTTCGAGATCACATTTATTACCGACTAATAAAAATGGAATGTTTTCATCATTTTTTACTCTCAAAATTTGTTCCCTAAAATAAAAGACACGCAATTAAGTTTTTTTTATTTTACCCAGTAAGAGATTTATTTAATACTCAAATATGATGTAGATTGTAAATATGTGATTAAAATAAAATTAAAAAATTCTTTTATTTTTAATGTGTGGGTCGGGTTTCAGACGAAGGTACTTAACAACGCCACCCACTACACACTTAAATTTCAATTTGAACCTCGAAACTTCTTGATCATAGCTGAACTCCCACTCACTTCGCCAAGCTGACTGGCAACATTTTTATATATTTTGTACTATTTATTCAACAATGCAGTATAATAGCTCCATATAATGCAATGCAAACAGTATTCTAATAGGTAAACCATATTAGCCAGTAGATTCTGTTTATTTCACCCCTTGCTTGAGTGCGATGATTTCACCACATCATTTAATTAGGTAGGTACGTCTTCTTTACAAGTCAATGTTTCTTTTAAGAGGTATGTCCCCAAAGTTTCATCACTTCCTTAATTTTCTTCTCCAAAAACCACAAAATTTAGAAGCATGGAACAGCTTTGTCCACGTTCTTTGGTGTGCTCTAGACTTTATAAACATTTGTCCTAAATTCCCACATTCATATCGTGGGGCCACGATAAAAACCCCCATCTCAAAAAAATTAGGTATATCTGGGAATCCTTAAACATAAAACACTTGATTTCAATGACAAAATATGTATATGTTACCGGCAAACGGTAATCTGTACAATTCAAGTTGCCATACAATCACTTTCCCTCCTCCGAGAACTAAACCTTTCTACAAACCATCTCCAGAATATCACCCCTAATATTACCATCAAACCATCAAACTATGGCAGTCAAAACTCGTGAATATTGATCTATCCTTGAACAAATACAAGAAAAGTGACATTTTCCTAATATCTTAGCGTACATTATTTTCAAATCATTTGTTTTTTTTGTATATTGTTTGTTTCTACTGAGAATGTTTTTCTCTCTTTCTTTTTGTTCTCACTTTTAGCGTTTATTACTATTTTAGAATTAACCAACTTTTCTTTATGTATTTTTGCGTTTGTCCTGTAAATGGGTTTTCTGTTGGGCAAATAAAGCATTATTATTATAACTAATGTCTATCAACAATTATTTAATGAAAAACTGAGCACCGCATATTCAAATCACTCGCATATATACCTACACAGAGCGCTCCAAAAATGACCATTCTACATCAGCAGCCATTCTTCTAACTAATCAAGAACTCTTATACCAACTACACAAAGCAAACTCCATCTTCACAGCAGAAGCCGAGGAGCCTTTGCAATAGAGAAAGCACTTGATCACATAAATGAAACACATCAAAACACTGGTCAAAACTATCTAATTGTATCAGACTCCATGAGCGTGCTAAAAGCGGTCAGCAACCTAGGAAACAAAGCGCCCATTATAAGAACAATTCAGAAAGATCCTTATCAGCTGCAATAAAAAAGAACAAATATAACTCTAATGTGGGTACCATCGCACGTTGGTATTCTCGGCAATACACGGCCCATGAAGATGGCTTCAAAGTAGGTATTATAACAGGAACAGATTTCATAAGACATACAATCTTTGAAATGTTCCTTCAGCTCAATAACAATTTGAAACTTATAAACAATAACAAACTCTTAAGGATAAAACACGAATTCGTAGAATGGAGCACTTCAAACCAACGAAATCAAACGCATGAAATTGCAGTGAAACTTCATAGTGGACATACAAAGTTAATAAAGAAATTAGCATTGAAATCCCTATGGTGCGTAAACCGTTTTCTGTGGTACCCAAAATTACAAAATATTGCTACCAATCCACCTAATTTGTGGCCAGTGGCTACTTCTGCATGTGGTCAAGGGGAGCATTTTTTAAATTTGTTTTGAAAATACAGGGTATTTCCATGATTCTTGAACAAAATTTGATTCCCTACAACCATCCCCACAGGTAACGAGCTAGAGAAAAAGTTCTAGCGAAAACGAGAGTTTCTTGAAAATTGCTCAACTTCAAGAAACCGTGGCCCGTATGAATAAAAGTAAGCAAATGCTTATACTTACAAAATTCAAAGTAAATACAAATAAATGTACAAAAACAAAATTCTAGAAAACTTTATGAGCTTTCGATTTTGATGAGAAATTTTTTTCCTACGACCCCCCGTTTTCAGGATATAGCCGAAAAACTGCAAAACTATACCTTCAAACCCCAACCCCACTCTCCGGTGGCACCGAAATCGCTCGAGACTCTATTACACAATCATCAGAGGACCCTCAACCAAAAAAAAATTGGAACTACACAAATTATTTTTTCTATTTGCCGTTTTTGGCATAGAATGACTGGACTAATAAGTAATCTAATATGTAACACATTTAAATAATTAAATGTTTTTTTTTGTTGTTTTTTTTTAAACAATTTTATTTGTAATACATATTTTAATGTTGTAACCTTTTCTTAAATACATAATATTGTCTGTCATTTAAAAAAAAATAATAATTTAATATGAAACACAACTTGCAATTTAACATTTATTTTATCTATATTTATGAATTAGATCAAGTAGGAGAGGGAGGGGGAGAGGAGAGCTTGTCACCAGATGTCTTTATTCTGATTTTGATCCTCTAGTTCACAGTACACCCACCAGGATCCGCCAAAATACCATACAAACGTCATACAAATTTGTAACATTGCTGTTGCAATTTTGAGAAGGCGTTATTCTGGGGATTGACCAATATACATTGTCAAATTGTGACCGTATAATAGTAAATGTCCGTTTAATTTAAAGATTCGCGTACAAATCTACGGCGCAACGGTATAATAAGTATAAAATATAACGTACAACAGTATTCTAGGGTTAATCATTAAATTGAGTATGACATTTCAGTGTGTACCTACCGTCACTTTTTGTCTCGCGTCGCTTTTTCTCCCGTGACACTTTACTCCCTTATATGAATGAGAAAACACGTTGAGTTAATCAACGGAGTAAAATAAATATGTTTTTACCTGTGAGCTACTCTGATGAAATAGCGCGAACTATTCGTTACACTCGTTGGTTTACTGGCAATCAAAGACCAGAAAAGCAACTGCTAATTACTTAACCCACTCAGTAACTAATATACAGATGGATCTAAAACTGCAAACGGAGTTGGTAGCGTTGTAGTCACTGAGGGAATAGCACATCAATGGAGTTTAGACCCTAAGTCGTCGGCTACCTTTGCTGAGCAATACGCCATGCTGCAAGCGATGCTGTACTGTTACATGAGTGATACCAGAATGTTCTTAATCGTGACAGACTGTAACAATGTACTAAATGGTATATCTCAAATATACCCTTCAGATCCGATGAACATAAAATGCCAATCCGCATTAAATGTAGTACGCGAGGGAAGTCAATTAAATTTGTATGGGTCCCCAGCCATGTTGGCATTCCAGGAAATGAGCAGGCAGATCAAGCTGCATACCAAGCTACATTTAATGAGCAAATTGATGTCGAATTTGTGGTGGCAAGTGATATCACGAAATATCTGAAAGAGAGGTACACTATGGAATGGCAGGAAAAATGGGCACGCATCAATACACATCTTTCTCAAATAAAACCCGCAGTAAAGGATTTATTTACATTGCAACATCCATCAAGGGAGGAGAATGTAAAGATGCACCGCCTGAGGATAGGGCACACCAAAATAACTCACCAACATTTACTTAAAGGTAGACCTCCTCGGTACTGTAACCACTGCAACATAGCCCTTACAGTGATGCACATATAGCTATTTGCGAGGCTATTTGTGTATTAAGAGCGCAAAATGATATATTGTCGATTGAAAGAGACAGTTGACGCGCGACGAAGGAGCGCGGCAATCTCTTGAAATCGACAATCAATTTGCGCTCGAATTACACACAAGATTTTTTCTACAATCGAGCAGTTCACATATTTCCAGAAATTTAAATTTTTCACTCAAATCATATTAATCTTATGCCCAAATGAAAGATGTCATTTACTCGTTGTCATTGGATACTCTGAGCAATGCATATTTGATTTATAGTTAATAATTGGGAGAGCGAGCGTTTTTTTCTATTTTGTCGCTTATAAGCGAAAAAGATGACGTTTGCGTTGTCAAATACGAGCGCAAATGCCTACTTTGGATATCGATTGTAGAAAAATAAATGATTGCCCACTATATGTCGTTGAACGCGTACGTCATAACATTATGCCAAACTACGTTACAAACTTCAATTCACAAAATGCAAATAATACCCTCGCCTTCTTAAAAGGAATTGGTATATATATCGACATATAGCACTGTGCATATATGTACCTGTACTCTATAGCGTGCAATAAAGGGGATATGTCCTTGGCAGTCAAACCCTTAAAAAAAAAATAAAAAAAAAATAAAATAAAATAAAAGCAAGTTAAATAGTCATTATACAAAAATAATGACGAGAGCATATTTTCCTAGTAGTAGTAGTAGTACTACAATGTCAGTTTTTCATATAGTGTGTGTGGCGTAGTTCAGTTGAAACTGGCTGTGGTGCCGAGGGTCCCTGGTTCGAATCAGGGTTCGGGCATGGATATTTGTAAATGTATAGTGGGTTGGGTTGGTAGAGCAGCCTTGGATGAAGCCCCGCCCACTCAAAAATGAAGGCAAATAAATAAATAAAGTATCAACAAATACATTGTCAATTGTAAAATACCTTATTTTACTACATATAATATCCAGTTTTGAAATAGTTTTCTCAAACTTGAAATATTACCTAATAGTGGAACGCTCGGTGGAGCGTATACAAATATAAAAATTTTTCAAAACCCACTTATGGATGTTGCCGCGTAACACAACCGTAAATGATGATTAACGGTTAAGTATAGGCTATAGCAGTTAGAAGCCGATGGAACAGACAGACGAACAGACAACGGAAAATCGAGCACATAAGTGTTACTTCAACTTCGTTGTGTTACGCTAAAAAATTTGATTTAAATGCTTTCATAAATAAGAAACTTGGGAATACGCCCGCACAAAATCAAATTTTGAAAGTGGTGTTAGATTTACTTTTTTTCCAAGTGCCTATGTATCAAATTTCATTTAAATGCTTTTGTAGATGAGAGGGTTGACACTACGCAATACGCATGCGCAAAACAATATTTTGAAAACGTCGTTAATGCACTTATATTCGTAGTGTTTATATATAATAGTTATTTAGGTATTAACGGCATAAAAGTGATGTTTATATCCTCGAGGGCGACGAGTTAAAAAGCTCGAGGTCCGATAGGCCCAAGAGTTTTTTAGTCGCCCGAGTAGTTTACGCCTGTGGTACATACAAAATGGTATGTCTTACAAATAGTTTTCTTCGTCAAAGTAAATATTTGTTTACAAAACAATTCATTATGTTTGATCAAGTATGCGTGGTTCGAATTTGTTAATGTGATTGAAATCATCCAAACGTCAAACGTAATTTTAAATAATTCAATTCTTCATGAATGAGGAAGAACATCCAAAAACTATTCGAAATAAGGCCAATCTTGTGAGCTAGTAGGTATTGACATTTAATAATTGACGTTTCTAATCTTCAATGATCTGCAAATATTTGTTTGTTTTGTCATTAAGTATAAATAAGTTACTATGGTGATACTTTATGCCCGCGCATCACAGATATAAAATGTGCTATGATATGTTAGTAAGACATAAATTTCTACTTATTTATACAGGCGTTAAACCGAATTTTTGACACTGCGCATGCGCGAAACCAAAAATATCGGTACGCACGGAATCCTTGCACCAACCCCTTTCAAATGGGCCCCATATTGCCCAAATCGGTTCAGTCGTGTAGAAGGAGTGCGCGTGACAGACGGACGGACGACAAAGTGCAACTAATCAATCAATCAAATAGCAATTTTTCACTTTGAGGAAAATATGTACGCTAAAAAACAGTTTAACAGTTTTTAAGCACATGACAGTGTATTCGCAAAAGATTTATATACAATCAGATATTACGCCGCAATGTCAAGTTCCCAACCATATTTGTGCATCTATAATGACGTTGGCATCTAGTGGTCTGTGGTCATGAAAAATGGATTAAATTCACTTCTTCTCTTCGCCATAATGCGTAAGTGTGGTAATCAAAAATACACCAAATTCACTTTTTGGCTATTGAAACAATGAGTCTGATTGTTTCCCCAACAAGATCGATATATAAATAAAGATTTTGACATAGGAGCCAGTACCACTAGTGTTACACACTCGAAGTTTATATCTGGGAAGTTGTCGTAGTAAATGTCCACCCTTTTTTCCGCCGCCCGAGGAGTTGCTATAGGACCCAGAAAGTTGAAAGCGGAATGTTCACCTACAGGACAATATAAGCTGTTGTTTGAAACTTAGTATATGCCCCTTGTAGTAGACAAACAACACACTCTATGTTACAGACAGTTGGATAGACCGATTGAAATTTAGCGCATTTTCACCACCCGCACGTTAGTAACGGAAGTATTGCATTGGGGCAAAAAATGACGCCCCACTTTTTTGACGAAAGTACACGTTTTGAAGCACCAGGAATCCGTACGCTGCGCCCCTCCGCCCTTTCTACGATACGCCACTGCAAACTGGTGTTATTTGCTTTGGTGATGACACAACATTACTGTGATATGCTTGGCGCTTTAATCATGTGGATATATGATCTCATGTTAAGTGTATGACAAAATAAAATGTGCCGTCTAGCCTAAGTACACAAATAGATCTTACCTAATGCTAACATGCAAGCCAACGAATCAGCGGCATTATCATCCTATTAAGGATGAACTCGAGATTACTTTTTAACACACAGGAAAGATGATTTACTCTATGTGGTTATGCGGGGACTACCGCAATTGCAAACATAAAAATCTATTTTTAACAGAGATGAGTAAAAGGAAATTAACTTTTTAAATAATTGTAATTAAACTCTCGTCCTAGTTCCACCAACCTGCAGCTAGTTTATATAATAATGTGCAATTGTTACAATAACAGTTTGCTCTACATAATGTAATCTCACCTGAAATCTTGGGTTGCTTGAAAACTTTCATCTTCCGTTATAGAAAATATACACAAAAAACCCTCTCCACTTCTAAAGTAGTTATCCCTAATCGCAGCGTAATCTTCCTGACCGGCCGTATCTAATATATCAATTTGTACTTCTTCCCCGTCAAGTAAGATCTTCTTTCGATATGAATCGGCTTTGGTAGGTTCATAATCTTCGACAAATTCGTCATACATGAACTGTAGAGTCAGTGCCGACTTTCCTACACCACCGCTCCCTACCATAATCACCTTATGTAGAGCAGGCTGTGTTACTGGCTTTTTAGACATTTTTCCTGAAACACACAGCTGATTAGTATTGTGATTACAATTTACAACTACCTGTTCCCATACAAAACTAAAACAAGTCATTGACCTAAAACATACCGCACTGAATTCTGCTTGTGCAAAACTTACCCCTTTATTTTACGGCGGAATTGATAATTTAACTCGGGTTTTAAAGTCGACTCCAGAAGCAATCAGCCTCACCTTTATTTTCGAGAAATTTTGCCCTATACACTGCCGCAACTCTACACATTACTCACGCTTACGCTTACTCCCTCCGATCCGCTGTTATTCAAAATTTCGACTGAAAGTGTCTAGACAATTACACCTTCGCTCTTTCTTAGATCTACGAATTGACGCATACTCCTTCTCACTTTTCGTACATACGTTAAACGAATTTCATGCGATAGAGAGTTTGACAACAAAATCTCCACCTAACCTAACTTAATTTGGTATTTTCCTCTACTATTGTTTAAATAATTTCGAATCTACGAATATGTAAAGCCATGTCTTCAAAGCTTGAAATTCAGTGGACGCCGGCTGCCAATAAGTTTATAACGTGGGGTTCTGAATTGAACTTGTACGAGACTGTGTCGCTTCGAGATGGTTGTATACCAAGTACTGTACTTAGGCTTTAGATTCAAGTCTCAACTTAAATCTTCTTCATTTGTAGCTGTTAAACTATCGAATACAATTGGCGCCAACTTGTTAGCTACCAATTCTACACACCATTACGTGAAATGTATCGATATATATCCCAAGTGTGAAAGCGACTTGTTGCTAGCTATTGGTCAAGTCAATGGTAGAGTTACACTTCTGACGTTTGGTCCGTCTCAGTTTGACTCTTTGTCTTTGCCAGGGAAAGAGTTTGGTAAGTTTCATGTTGTGTTTGCACTGTTAAATGACAGTGGGTGTAAGTTGTAACATTTAACGCTAGAACACTGTTGCTATTTTGTACCGCATAATACTGTTGACACGTAAATTTTACGTACATGGGAAAATGATAGGAAAAAAAGGAGATGTAGTATTATTGGAACATAAGCGAGAATGTAAGGCAATAAAGGGGACACCGAAGGGGACACAATAGTATATTGAAAGACAAGTGTTACAATGCGACCTATTGTAATACGACTATCTTGTGGCACGAGTGGCGACGCGAAGCGTAGCCACGAGTGTCCGCAAGATAGGAGTATTACAATAAAGCATTGTAACACGCGTTTTTCATACTATTTTTTCTATTTCGGTGCTTTAATTTAATTAAAAAAATCATTATCAGAAACTATAGGGAACATTAGAACTAACATGTTTTATGTTGGGAACACTTTTTATGCCGTTAAGTTTTAGGTTGGCAGCGTAGTAAGACTGACATTTTGAAGTTCAAACATGGAAGTACCCTTAGACTATGAAAGAAAGGGGACTGACAATATCCTATCCAGCGCAATGCTGCGCGGTGAAACCTGGGGCGGCCATATTTTCGGAGCCAAAATTTGTTTAATTTTTCATTTTCGTGATTATGCGATCCTTAAGTCTCGAAATATGCGATTAAAAACATTATTGGACAATGGTACATTGTAGTGCACGGAAGTAATAGCCAAAAAACACACGAAAGTATTTCGTTTCACAGGTATAAATTTGAGGTTAGTTTTCGGTGGAATAACAAACAAATGTGGGCTACACTTTACGATCAATATTATCACTCCTCATTCTTTCCTTCTCTAAGGAAGTACCCAATGAAGTACCTGCTTGTACTAACTAGTAACTGCCAACTTAAGAGATGTGTTTCCAAAAAAAAACGACTATAATCACTGTCTTTGTACAACTAACAGTTGTACAAAATCATCATTGTGACACCGAAATAGAAAAATGACTTATTGGCATCGAATAGCATAAATAAACATCCAATTTTTAAATTTTAAAAACAGTAATTTTGTAAAACATTTGGGACACATTTTCAATTTTTAAATGTGTGTTCTCCATAAATTGTTTTTTTACATTTTGGGGCAGTATGTTTTTGTCATTCTTTTCTTTGCTGTGGGGCAAATATGGCAATATACACTTACTATTACTGGTGACACGTGAATCTGACGTGTTGAGCTCAACAAGAAAATGCCGTTTGACCTGCTAAACACCTGAACTTCGAGTAATTAGCGTAAGAGGTCTATACTTAATAGAGAGCACTGCTGGCTAATAGAATCGGGGGCTATTATAAACCATGACTTGGAATTCTTTGGAATACCAACATATTACCATAGGCAGAATCGAGGGCAGAATGATCACCAAATCACATTTCAGACATGCTATAGGTTTATACATTGAACATGGCCAGTGGCGGATTTAAATTTTTTGCGCCCTATACTGTATTCATTTTAAGAAGGTAGCGGTAAAAAGCATAGGGAAGCTTTGACCTTCACTGTGATTGGTTAAAACACGAGGTAGTATTACAATGAAACATAAATCGACTAGTCAATTTTGTAAGGTGGTAGTTTCTGTTGCCAACTAAACTGCCGAAGTGTCATTAGTTGTTATGGTCATAGATTTATTTATGTTCGCAGTGCTGAATATTTCTACTTTACAATAATTTGGTGCCGTTTTATATTTTTCCTGTGTGTTTGTCTTGAAACACAGCGCCATCTACTACCTTCTTATAATGAATGCAGTATAGTTAGAGAGAGAACGCATGATTTTTGCCTAAAAATGGCGGAAGTTACCAGATTCTAGTAACTTTAATGTTAGGGATTGTTCCACCTGTTTGGAGATATCTGTATATATGTTTATAAAACACATAAAACATGACAGTACTATGAAGTTAGGTTATAAAAAATTACAGCTATTCAGATTTTATTTGGCAATTTTTTTAAGTTGGCAGCAAATTTGCCCAAAAATGGCGGATGATTGCGGTACTTTCTATATCTAGTGACTTTAGGCACACCAAAAGGTATGCGCCCCAAAATAATCTTGCATTGTCGATTATCGTTGTTATAGTTACAGTTTGTTTAAACCTCGGTTTAAACTATCTACCAATTCCAATTTATTTCATAATTTTAATTAAAGATTTTTGTCATTTGTATCTTGTTAGGGGATTTATTTTAAAACTTAAAATGTTATCTAAAATAAATATACTTAGTGCAAAAAATGCCGCCCTCTAAAGCTGCCGCCCCTAGGCACGTGCCTATATGTAAATCCGCCACTGAACATGGCAGTATACTAACGGGGCTTCTTCAAAGTAGGCTCCCACAGAAGTGTGAGCCCACAGTTTAGGTGTTTGGTGAATCTGAGGGTGAATCTATTCTTATAAGACGGGTGAAAGTAAGTTCATATAGCTCTGGCGAGCCCACACTTTAGGTGTTTGGTGAATCTTTTATAATAAGTGGGCAACGAGGTGGGTAATATACCTACAGGGCCTTCAAACTTAAGTTGGCACTACCTATTACTAACTTCGTTATTATAAGAGATACGTCAGTTAAATGGAGAACTAGTGTGTTTTTTACACTAATTACAATGGTGGCAACAGATGAACAATTGACAGTCGCGTTCTCAAAATATTGACAAAAACGGACTTTTTTAATGCAACATTCCCTGTATCGCATAGTTCTAAATGTGTAAATGGCATTTTGTCTTAAAAATACAATTATTCTCTTTTTATTTTATTTATTTTATTTTGCCTTTATTTTTATTTTTGAGTGGGCGGGGTTTCAGCTAAGGCTGCTCTACCAACCCAACCCCACTATACATTTACAAATATCCATGCCCAAACCCGGATTCGAACCAGGGACTCTTAGGTCCACAGTCCAGCTTTAACTGATCTGTGCCACACGGGCGTCGAAGACGTAAAGAAACTACTATTTTCTATTTTCGCTTAGATCATATATGCATAAATAAAGCCCCTCATTTACTTTCAATAAAGAGCATACCCAACACAGGCAGAGATAGGTATATTTTGCACCGTAAGTAGAACACCGCACATGCGTAAGAGCATTTTAACATGAAACTACCAAGAATTTAATGTGTCCAGTTTGACTTATGCAAGGAAAGATAAATCTAATTATAAAACACATTTATTAACATATAAAGTTACCAACTTGGACACCAAGATAAAGTGTGTCCAGTGCGATTTCGTCACCAAACATAAATCCAGTCGTAAAGCACATCTTATCATCTAACGTCTGTTAAGACATGGAACTCCCAAGGATTTAAAATGTGACCAGTGTGATTTTATCTCGGATTTTAAAGCGAAATCTGTTACGGCTACAGATTACTTACTATAGTAAGTTCATTTTCTTTACCCTTTGATCGCCCTCCCCCCCCCCTTTCACCTACCTACCTGCTTGAATGAGATTGTTCCAGTAGACTAGGAGAACTTTCGCGTGGCTCGGTTGTTCAATGACTTATTAATACACAACTATAACATTCATTTTGCGTCGCGTTGATAATTAACTTTCCCCCTTAAATATTTTTTTAAATATTACTCCCAGCGAAAAAGTGTATAGAATTTTTTGTGTGGAGAGAAATAATTTCACTATGATAATTCTACGACCAGAAAAATTCTACTGTACGCATTTTTGCAAAAAAACTCGACAAACTTGAATTCAAAATAAAAGCTACTGTCACAGTACCCTCTTCTGTTTTTTGATACGCAGAAAACCTGATGAGATTTGAAAATCAACAAACAAACAGAAGCTCTGCCTAAACAAACAATTTTCAAAAAAACAAAAAAATGTTTTCGAACTCCTAACAGCATGTTTGGTACGAATTAATTTGATTTAATTCGCAAATTAATTCAAAGGACTTTTTAAAAAAAAGTCTTAAGAATTAATTCAATTTTTAGCTTCCTAGCATGTGCTAGGTAGCTATTGCGATAGCCGTTTTTTGAACATTTCAAAATTTCATCAAATGTCGACGTTTTAGACCATTTTAAGCAACTTTTAAAGAATAAAATTTTTTTCCGTCTGTATGTACGTACGTACGTTTGTTGGCAATTTTCTGAGAAAACGGCTCGACGGATTTTGTTGAAATTTTGTATATATGTTTTAGGCATACCGAACAGAAAAATAACGGGCCGGATTTTTGAAAAAAAATGTTGGAGCGCCGTAACGGCATCGAACTTTTTTTTTCAAATAGCAACCTAAAATTTTTATTCTATTATTTGGAAGACCTTATTTTCCTGTGTACAACCTACAAAAAATTGGGCCGGGTTATATTATCAAAAAACGTCAAAAAAAATTGTCAAAGTCAAAAAATTGTGTTGCATATGTGCAAAACGCAACGATCTTGTTTCTGAAGCAATTTAAACGAAATTTCTCTGGTAAGTCCCGTGCGTACATATGTTGGCAATTTTTGGTTTCAGCTAGGAAGCTATCCTGTCAAGAATTAGACACCTGGTTTCCAATGGGGCCAATTTGCATTATCTACCCCGAATTCAAATGTGAAATGGCGTTATGCCAACCGAAAGCCAGTACCAGCAACATGGGACAATCTAAAACACAATAGACTGCTTCGTGCGCCTGCGTTGGGGTCTGGGAGTCACAGCCTTGTGACTCACAGGAATGTCAAACAAAAATCCGAATACCGCCATTATTATTTAGATCATACAGTAGTGTAGTTTGCGTGTTATTGTGAAATTTTGTTCACCACGGTTTTGTCGATCCATTTATTTTTTTAAAAAACTTGTGACAAATAATAGCAAACACTGATTCAAAAGAAAGTTTAATCAGTTCTCTATTACTGAAAACAGAATTGGAAAATTCGAAACCGTACGTGAGTTATCAAGTCCAATTGACGAGTATTGACCAAAATTTAATCAGTTAATTCTTTGACCATTCTCTACCTATTACTGCGAAATCAGAATGAAAATGGAAAATTTTGAAATCGAAACCGTTCGCAAGTTATGTACACAGAAAGATGGCCAGAAAGACAAAGTCCATATGACCAAAAATTGCTGTAAGCAAGAGAGAAAGAAATTGCTTTTTACAACTTGCTTATATGTAAACGCTAGCGCAAGTTACTCTCGGAGAAGTACTATCGCAATTTACTATCCCATATAAACTACGTTTTAGGTCAACACTGGGTGAAAGGCTTGAACAAGGAAGGTCACAAATGTTTCACTGACAGTTAGTCAAAAAAACTTACTCTCTAGAGACAATTAAATAGACCATACAATGGCTCAAATATGTTGACCAATACTAGAAAATACCACGGAATAGCAGGATTACCATGCATGTACAAAAGAATATTCGGCTGTTGTATGACACAATGTCAGACGTTTTGAAAATTGATAGTCTAGCATTGTGTCTTTCCTTGAAATCTACTGCATAAAATTATTATCTCAAGGGATTGCTATAGTAGGGCCACTCTTCAATAATTCCGTTGTTGCCCACCCCTAACATTTTGGAAGATCCCTGGTAAATCAGTGCCATATGCCATTTCTCTCCATAGGTTATTCTCGGAAATGAAGGAATAAATAAATTTTTGAAAGAGGGTATCAACATTATATACCTACATTTTATGTTGTGAAAGATTTTGAAGTGCATTTTACTGTTAGCAAGAATTGTTTATAATTACAGTACCACGTCATCCACGGCAATGCAATGTGGTCGCCTGGAATCCGATAGAAGGAAACTTAATAGCGGCCGGTTTGGACAAGTATCGTTCGGATCATTCTCTACTGCTATGGGATATCATGAAATGTCCAACAGTGAGCGATATGAATGGCTCCGGAAAATTAGTGGTTAACACTATGGCCCCCGGTTTAGAATTGGCAAAACCGGTCGCCGAATTCGGAGTTTCTGAAATGACGCACAGTTTGGCGTGGTTCAATTCGAACAGTAAATGTGTCGCTGTCGGAATGAACCTTAAAAATATTAAATTAATCGATTTTAGAGGTGATGAAGTGTATATAAGTATTAAATCCATAATTATCCATTTGTAGATTCCAGTAAGGCTGTAAATTCGACCTTAACCAAAGCAGTTTATGGGCTATGTATTGACCCTCACAATGATAAGCACTTGGCATCATTTATTGATAACCAAGTATGCGTATGGGATACGAGAAATTTTGAAAAACCCATTGTCACGCTACCGCATAGTAAATCGGTGATTAAAATAGGCTGGTCTCCAACAAGACATAATTTGTTAACCTCGCTCCAAAGGGACAGTTCTGTGATAACTTTATATGATATTCAACACACATTTGTCGGTACCGAAGAAGTTGAACCGTCGGTTCTTGAAAGGGTTATTGTACCCGGTTCTCCACACAACATTACCTCATTTTCGTGGCATCATTCTTATGAAAATAGACTTCTGACTATTGCCTTGTCCGGTTCCGTCAACGATTTCACAGTATGTGACCGGATCACTCTGAACTGGGCGCCGAATTCTAATATGGTCTGGACTTTTGGTAGCAAAACAATGAAGTGCATAAACGATGACACGAGCTTGTACGGTACATTATGCGATATATCTCATAAAATAAAACAAAGAGCCATCGATGGTTACGGACTAAAAGTAAGTTCTAAAATAATCTTGCCGACTGCTTCATGTTGTATATAGGACGATTTTTTAAAAAATGGAGAGTTAATAGACGATGTTATGGTGTCAAAATGTTGGAATTGGCTTCAAATAAGTTCCCAGCTTGTCGAAGAAGGGATTTTAAGAGGATACAATTCAAAGCATCCGGGTGTGCGAGCTGTTTTGAAGATGGATGGAACAATTAATAAATCTGAACTTATATCTATGGCGTGGACTGATCTTGGGAATGTCAATTGTTACAGTTCAGCAAAAATTTATAAGTAAGTCATCTAATAGTACCCTGAGAGGGCACTTTATCTAGTTCCTTCCTATAACAACTCGCACCTTTTTTAAGGCACGAAGATAGAGACAAAGCGTTACATTTGTGCGGTTGGTACTTTGAAAGAGACGTCAGCTCCCTCAGCTTATTTTTGGAAAGACTGCAAAAGGAGCAGGCGTACTCACGCGCTGCGGCAATCTCCGTGTTCAATTTAAAAATCAAGATGGCTTTGGACATTTTAAATCAGGGCTCGGAAAATGGTTTACCGAACTTGAACGTCGTCGCCATGGCGCTCGCGGGCTTTTCAGATGATAAAACGAGCATGTGGCGGCAGTTGTGTTCGGCTACAAGAGCGCAACTCACAGATCCCTACTTGCGAGCGATGTTTGCGTTTCTAACCGCCGAAAATTACAGCTACGAAAATGTTTTGGTACACACCACGTGCTGTATTTCCCATTGTATACTGTCTTTGATTACAGAATGAAGATGGAATGTTGGTTTGTGATCGAATTGCTTTTGCGTGCACTTTTCTCTCCGATTCTAAGCTCCACGACTACCTTCGAAACTTAACGTCACAACTCATTGATGACGGTAATTTAGACGGTATTTTACTTACTGGTTAGTAAATGTCTGTGATTTTACTATTATTATGCGAACATAACTATTCAGGTAATAGTAATGATGGAATTCGTCTGTTACAAAAATATTTGGATACCACAGGCGATATTCAGTCGACTACTATCATTGGAGTAAAGGCTTTTTCGAATGATATGTTTGGAAATGCTGTAAAGGAATGGGTATCGAGGTATGTATTTTCAGCATTGCAATCGCAAACTTATATTAATCATTGACAGTTACCGAAACTTATTGGATACTTGGCAACTGTGGAACGAAAGAGCCTTGTTTGACATAATGCTTAGTTCTTATAGACCTACTGATAAACCGCCACAACAAGTGTATATTTCCTGTAATTTTTGTGGTAAAAGTATATCGGCTTTCATGCAGGGTTTAAATAGGGGTAGGGGTACCTTTTCTAGAATGGGAGGTACCCCAAACAAGTTAAAGGTGTGCCAAAGTTGTATGTTTAGCTTTCTAACTTTCACTTTTCAGATGTCTTCATGTCCAAATTGTCGCAAACCTTTACCACGTTGTGCCATTTGTTTAATGCACATGGGAACGACGACCGGGCTGCACAATAGTGATGATGGAGATAACCGTTTGGCAGAATTTTCACACTGGTTTACATGGTGTCAGACTTGTAGGCACGGGGGCCATGCCTCACACATGATACATTGGTTTAAGTAAGCTGCTCATTGTTTTGTTGTATTATGGTTTTAGAAATACTTTTTCTAGGGAACATTCCGAGTGTCCAGTGACCCCATGTACATGTCGTTGCTTTTCAGTTGACTCATTAAGTAATGAAATTAGTACGTAAGACCAAATTTTTAAATAAATAATAAAACACTATTTTATATGTAGTTACTTTTTAGCGCATTTTCCAACGAAGTTGGATGCGCTATTGCAGCCACTTCCTCTGTCCGTCCGTCGGTCCGAGGCCTTAACTACTCCTACAATTTTCAAGATATTTAGTTCGTTCTTTTTGCATTTGGTAGCGTATCGCTCTGGCACCCGAGTCAAGGAAAATCTTGACGATTGAACTGCGCAATGTTAACTTTTTTATTTGGTTGAAATTTTAATCACAGATACTTGCAGTAAAGGCAACTATATGGCATATAGTAATAATCAGATGTGCGCATGCGCGGACTGCGCAATGCCAACTTTCTTATTTATTGAGATATTTTTTTGAAATTTTAACCAAAGATGCTTATAGTAAAAGCAAACATATTGCGTATTGTAAATATCAGATTAATATGCGCATGCGCAGAACGCACAATATCAACTGCGCAGTAAGTGTAAACTTACTTATTTATGAAGATATTTCTTTAAAATTTTATCGATATATGCCTCTAATAATGAAAAACAGCGCACATAGGTATGGCCTTAGGGCAAAAATCTTTTTACTTGTTTAATTTAGTTCTCTGCATCAGTGGAGGATAGGTAGGTATTGAACTCAAAACGGTAAGGAACTAGAACGCAAAGAAAAGCAAAAACGTATCCTGGTCACGGTACCTCTTTATGATTACAATATTAAATAAACCCAGTTTAAATGGAAACCTAACCAAATGCGAATGCGAGATAAATTATTTTGTAAGAAATAACAACTATTATACAATTTCAATTGTGGCCACTTTGGTCTGACCTATAATAATTAATATTTATGAATCCGATGAACGATTCGTCTCGTTACCACAGTTTTACTTCCATTTTGAAGATTCATATATCTATAGGTACCTATGAACGATAGGTTCGAGTAGTAGAGTAAGGTAAATGTGTTCTTCTGAAAATGGTTCATCTGAACTTCTCCTAGCGGTTTAATCTTTAAGTTTTGTTTAATAATGTTGATGTATTGCTCTATTTTTAGTTATAAATAAGTTGTATATGTAATTAAAATTTTAATTATAATTGGGAGTTTTCTACAGGTTACGATTTCGAAATAATGCATACAACATTATCAGACTTTGTATCTGCACAAACACATTTATAATTAGTATAATTGACCCAAGGTCTGATGATGAAATTGTATTAATCAAGTTTCCTAAAAAGCGTGCAGCATCGTCCAGACCAAAGAGTATCTTTGTATACTCTTTGTCCAGACTGACGAATGTTGCGTTGTAGTTCAATAATGAGCGGTGGTGAATTATTGGTACCATAACAACTCGTTGGCGAAGACGATAAAGGCGATAATCTTCAATTTAGGTGTCTTCCGCCCCAACACGTTTAATCATAACGATCTTCGGTCACAATATCTTGCCTTTATTTCTTCGAATGAAAGGACTAGGTATAAAAGGAAGTTTTTACTAATCAAATGCAAAGACGGTTAATCCACCATATTGAAGACATTGAATTGAAAAATGTCTATTCAGGACCCCTGATGCTCCCCAAAGAAGAAATAAGATAGTGCCTAGGATGGTGCGATAAAAATTTGGCCAATAAAGAATATCATTAATTTTATAGAGATAAGTACTTAATAAACCTCTCGCCAGGAAGGATTGCCGGTCACAGAACACTTGATCCCGGTCTACAATCTATGTTTTTCTAAAGATGTGAGCGACTTCCGGGATAGTATCGTGTCAATGTTGAACAAAAAGACTTTTCGTTCAACATTGGCACGATCCTATTCCGGAAGTCACTCGCATCTTAAGAAAAACATAGATTGTAGATCGACACAAGGTGAGCTGTGACCGGCAATCTTTCCTGGCGAGAGTTATCTACCTCTGTTATACAAACAACTATTGAGGAATAACGAATAAGAAGTCGGTTCATAGATTCTTTTTTTAAATGACAGTATGAGTAGAAGTTGTTCAACATTACATTTTACAAGAAATATATGAATAATTTATGTTTCCAGAATCACGAAAGTCTTTTTACATCGTCAATAATTTTTTATGTTAATATCAAACGATGACTAATGCAATAGTTGCGATAGTGTTGCTTGAGCCAGTTTAAAAACAAACGAGATAAAAGCAGATCATGATACTATAATAATAATAATGATAATATAATAATAATGATTATTATAGTATCATGAAAGCAGATGGCAATACATTTTTGTCTATCCAAGACAAACGGACCTAAGTCACAAGGTATCTATACTTACTTTAGGTGTAGGTATTCATATTTTCAAATTGACAATATATTACTACTCGTTATATTATTTAACACTCTTAAGAAATATAATATAATCAGTACAATATATTCCATTCCATATACTGTAGCATATATGAACTCAACTCGCAATATTTAATCTTTGTTTTAGATACTCGTACGTTGCACTCATCAGGGTGCGATATGTACCTACATCAATGTTATAGAGGCACTTCTTTTTGTGATAAGTTGAATTATTTAGCAATGGATATAGTCGCATTTGTTTATTGTTGACTTTGCCAAAAGAGAGTTAAGATCAATAATTTTGGTTCGACTTTTGAGCAACAAATGGCCAATAAACTCGTTGTAGAATGTCCTAGTGCAGATCTAAAGGAGGCCGCTCACTTTAAAAAAATGAGCAGCGTGTGGTGGGACTTGAAGGGAGAGTATCATGGTCAGTACCTTTACGATTCAAACGTAGTACCATACATGGTGGAAGAGATCATTAACTCTGGATTGCTCGATATAAAATACGCTGAGAGTGAGAAACCATTTACAGGATTGAAGATTTTAGAAGTGGGCTGTGGAGGTAAGATTACCAACTGGTTAAAAAGTTAATACTTTTGTTATATTAAGGGGGAATTATGTGCGAAATGTTGTCAAAATATGGTGGTGATATCACAGGAATTGACATAAACAGCTATGTTCTGGAGGTTGCTAAAGAACACCTGAAAAGCGCCGATCCAAAGATTACGAACATAAACTACATTTTACAATCTGCAGAAGAGCACTGTTTAAGTAATGCCGAGAAATACGACTTGGTCGTATTAAACACTGTCATTCAACACGTGGTTGAGAAAGACGTACTGCTGAAAAGCTGCGTGCGCTGCCTAAAACCTGGCGGCTCAATATTCATAAGTGGGTTTAGCCAAACATGGATCGCCTGGTTTCTGCTTGAAATCTTAGCGGAATGGTGGGGTACTTTACCTAAGGGTAATTCCGAGTGGAGAAAATTTATTTCAATTGGAGATCTTGAAAACATGATGAAGTGGTGTAAGTGGAAACAAAGAGTATAGAACGTAACGTTATATACTCTTTGGTTGGTATGGAACTTTCTGGAAATCTTTTGCTCTTAATTCAAATTTTAGACAAGTGCAAATTAATCGCTTCCAAAGGCATATATCATAATCTCTTTACCGATACTTGGACCATGGGTAGATGCCACTCAATGTCTTATGCTGCGCGCTTCGTCAAACAAGAATGAAAAAATTATATATACTACCTAGGTACTCTCTAAGCACAATAATTAAGTGCAAAGTAATTAATTAATAAATAATATAGCGACATGTGTAGTCATTATATAGTGTTAGATAAGATGAACACACAGAAGCCGGATTCGGCTCCCAGTTCTGCCAGATATCTTGGACGTTATCTCAGCCTCTAAAATTAAGCAACAGTACCTATGTGACAGTATCTCCGGAATAGTACCTATAATTATAATAGACGGAGGGATAGAATCCTCGCCATAATCTCCGTGAAATTCCGTCCAGGTACGGCTGGGATAAGAGGTTATTTATTTATTATCCCTCTCTTGTTCTGGAATCTCAACAAGCTTTCGCAGTAGAGGGCAATAACCAACGAGAGAGTTGGCGAGTTGTGAAGTTGAACTAGTGCACTAGAAATTTAGTACATATTAATATGTGATCTTTATTTGTAATTAGAAAATTAATTGCGTGTTCAAGTCAGTTCAAGCATTGGTTCAAGACAGCCTCGAGTTCTTAAGAAAAATGCCTTTCAGGTAGGATAGGATTAAGGGGTTGTATGTTTTCACGTTTCGCAAACGGCAGGCTTAACTCAATTCACTTTCAAATTAGTACAATTTCCCTTAAAAACCTGCTAGAAATAACAAATAACCATGTGCTGTGACATATCTAGATAATCAATTGTAGCTAGATACAGTAGCTAGATACCTACTTTTATCGCTAGATATTTTCCGTGTATCTATTATAGATACCTACCTACATACCTATGTAGATATTTTTGAAAAACGATGTCGCTCTAACTAGATACATTTTTCATTGCATCTGGGCGTTTTAGATCCTTAAATAATTTTTTTTTGTGTATACATATATTGTTTGTCAAATATAAAAATTTAATACAATTATAGAGTTAATACATTACTTACTTACATAAAAGTACGCACGAAAAAACAAGCACCAAAAATATCCTACCAAGTCCGAGGTCTAGCATTAAATAAGTTTTGATTCGATGGCTCTAAGTGGACAATTCCACTTTGACATATACAATTGTCAAACTGAACTGATGCTTATATACGCACGCTTCAAAATTCAACAATAAATTCTGCCTAGCGAGTAGTGTTGTTATTGTAACGTAATTTGCGCCATTTTTCCACTTGCATTTCTCTTCCCTCTTATTATCCGATCACAAATGGGATTTATTATACATGAGTGGATCTCGGTCCTCGGTAAAATAGGTGAACGTTTGCAAATTTGAACTCTTAATTTGAATTTGAGTATTTATCTCCTTTTAGTTAGACGTTAATGTTTTTAAAATTCAATTCCAGGGCCTTCTAGACTTCTTTTTTCACTATTATGCTATCTAGATAAAAAATATATGTATCTGTGCCTAGATACCACTGAAGCAAATGTATCTATTAGATAAAATTTTCCGAGTGTATCTGTATCTAGATACCCAAATAAAAGTATCTGTCACAACACTGAGAATAGCCCAATGTTTACAAACCGCTCCCACCAATACACGCCATTTGTAAATGACATCAGCGCCTCTAGTGTTAATCTGAATCGCGAATGTACATTATTTCATTTACATGACTCGGTTTGGTGACGCGTGTTGTATATTTTTATCAAACGGAATCAGTATCATCTCATGAATTTGAAATAATGGGAATTTGATCTAACAAAATGACAAGTATAAAAATAGGAATGAGAAAATTAAATTAATAAATAATAAAATACATTGAACAGTGATCTTAAACGAAAAAACAATGAATGCGTAAGTTTCTTAGATTAATTGTTAGCTCTCCAACTTAAGTGTAGCCGTTTCTATTATTTTTAGAAAGCTGGACTGACCATTTTGTGATTTTTTTACCTCAAGCAAGATCACAATAGGTAGCAGAAGTAGAAAATTCAGTACGAGAGGCACAATGACTAGGCCTCCAAACGAGAATCTTCCAACAATCAAATTAGTTGTTGTTGGAGATGGCGGCGTTGGTAAAAGTGCAATTACGATACAGTTTTTCCAAAAAATGTTCGTTACCGATTACGATCCGACTATCGAGGATAGCTATCTGCAACATGTTGAGGTTGATGGACAGTGGTGTATTTTAGACGGTAAGATTTTCTCTTTTAAATGAGATGAATGTATTCAAACCGTTACTAACAGTTTTAGATACTGCAGGCCAAGAGGAGTTTAGTGCAATGAGAGAACAGTACATGAGAAAAGGAGACGGTTTTCTCTTAGTCTATTCTGTTACAGACAAAAACAGTTATGAAAATATTATTCATTTTCATACTCAAATTCTCCGCGTTAAAGATAGGTGAGCTATTTAAATTAGTAGTTTTGTTATTAAAGAAGAATCTTCACGTTTATTATTTTATAGAGATGTGTATCCTATGCTATTGGTTGCCAATAAGGTTGACTTAGTTCATTTGCGTAAAATAACCGAAGAGCAAGGGCGTGAATTAGCTCACAAATTAGGAATACCGTATATCGAAACAAGCGCCAAAGATCCGCCTCTCAACATTGATGCCACTTTTCATGAAGTGAGTTATCTTTTTGCAAAACATTTTTTTTTAAATTTTGTATTGTATCAAGCACTGTATACAGGGTGTCTAAGCTCAAATCAGATTGCACCTGTAAACTTGGTAAGTATTTTTTGAAGATGGAAATTTTTGAATTTTCTCCTGTATCTCTTAGGCAAGCCAAAAATGTGTAAATTTTGCTTTTACCATTTTAAGTTTGACCCAAACAGAACAAGTGACATCTATATATTTTTTTATTGACAATTACGGACAATTACGAAGATACCCTATAAGGGTCGAGAATGGGACAAAGTTGCCCCTTTTTCTGACTATAAAAACGCATTTCAAATTCAAAAATTTTTTTTAAATAACTAGATACCGAAAAACTGAAAATGTCTGTAGCTTAAACGGTTGGAATCTGAATCTCCATAATCACGCTAGATGCAGAAGGTACAGGTTACTACATATTTTCATATTTCCTTTGGGCGCCATATTGGATTTTTACGGAATGAGAGGACAAAAAAGAAATTCATTTGAATCGCATTCCCATCATCCAAAATTAGGAACAAGCTGGACCGCTCGTTAATAATCAAAGCAATCAATTGATAGTTGTACTTTTGGAGCGATTTAAGGGTTTAGTTTTGAAATGTCCCGCCATAAACTAATAACTACATAATTTTACTGAAAATATAGGTAATTGATTGCGTATTCGTTTGTTTGTACGTTATCTACCCTCACTGTTAAGTGATACTTTATCTACTCTTACTCTAGATATTTATAAAATAAATAAACGTGTTTGTCATAAAAGTATGATATACCTACAGTATTAGTATTTTGATGGGAAATTTCGATATTCGACTAGACCAAGATAATATGAAGAAAAGATTCGTGGGACCCATAAAGGCCAATGCGCACATACGCGCCTTAAGTACTACTAATCGCGTCATACGTTAAATTTATCTGACAGTTAATTTTTATGGAAAGGAATGTATTTTTAATCACATAAAAATCCAATACAGTTCCCATTTATGAAAATAGTTTTAAACAGAATTTAAATATGCAAAACATTGCCCATTGACCTTGATCTCCATCTTCATCTTGTTTTAGGACACCCTGTATATGCGTTTAGTCATGGTTATCAGAATGTTCTGTCCTCGGTTCTGTCTTAATAATTTATTATTATCCAAAGGTTGTGCGCATCATCAGAAATCAACCTCAGGCGGATTTAGAAAAGCGGAAGAAGAAAAAGCTGCAGGTTTTGAATAAATGTGTGTTACAATGATTGATTTCGGTTGTCCCGGAGACTTGGTTTAGGCTGTAAACAAACGGTCCTAATTTTTTGTCATTTTATGCACAATTTTAAAATGGTAAGGAGTTAATAGAATTTATACTGTTGTTGTCAGTTTTAAAGAAATTTTGGTCAATTTTTTGAACATATTTAATAATATGGCAAAGATGTGAATTTGTTAGTGTCTGGTTGTTTGCTGCTTTTAGTACCTACGTCTTCAGAGAAAGATGAAATTTGTGGCATTTTATGAGGCTGATTGCCTCTGTTAAAATTTTATGAAGACATTATTCGGGATTTAGATTAACAGAGACTTCTAGTGGCAGACATTGTAATTAATACAGGTGGGAGAAGGCCACTGTTTTAAATTGTCAATTATTAAAGCACGACACATCGAAAATACCGATTGTTGATTTTGTGGTCAGTGTAATTATCACATGAATAGTAACGCTGTTTTAAAGCATAATCGACGTAAGGGAGTGTCGGCGAGTTGCTGTTACAAGACAGCCTCGAGTTTTTAATAAAAAAGCCTTTCAGGTACGATAGGATTGAGAGGTTTGGTATATTTGCAAGTCTCAAAAACGGCGGTAGAAACTCAATTCACTTTAAAACTAGTACAATTCCACTTAAAAAGTGATAAAATAACCCTATGTTTTCAAACCGCCCCCACCTACAGTCGCCATTTGCAAATTACACCAGCGCCTCTAGTGTTAATCTGAATTGCGAATAAAGACGTTCAAAATTTTCAAATGAATCAAAGTAATAAAATTGCCAAAATAATTAAAATCTAGAATTATGCTCCTTTCCATTTTATCAGACGCCACTATGTACTTGATGTGCCAGTATTCTATTTCACTTTAAATAACAGTTAGCATTTACATTGGAATACTTTTATATACTAGAAAAGTTTTACAATTTGTGTTTTATTAACACAATGAGAAACTGAACTAAAATGCCAAAGATTAATTTTTTGTGATGAAAGTATAGTTGTAATAATAATTCCAGTGGTGTTCATATACTAAAATAACTGATACCAAAAAATGTTTTGTGTTAACTGTAAGCAGTGACCTAATAAGAGTAATTTTCTCCTATGCTTCTTACTATAGGTACTTTTATTAACTCACTGCGTGTAAACTTTTGCTATTGTTGCATACATAAATAAGGCTGTAAGTTTTGCTCATTGTTTAGTTGTAAACATTCACTTGAAACACAATGGCCAATAATTGTTTGCAACGACTATTCATTTCTATATCGCTTATTTACCTGTGATTTGTGTACCTAATTATAAGTACACATATTTTTTTCTTATTTAAATACCATTTTACCAAAGGTTTGTTGAACTATGCATATAAGATGCAAAGTTTTATATTGTCGTAATCACAATTTTTAGATACAAAAAATATTCATACATTGTTCCATTGTTAATCACTTTTTGTTAGCGAAATAAAAAATGTGAATTTTTAAATAAATATCGGTGTAGGTAGTTATATACATAAATTATTTATTTTGCATTAGTTTGTTAACAAATGCAGTTGTAAAAGTCAATTTCTATACATGTAATAAGAATAAATGTTTCAAAGATTTATTTTACATATTTGACGTGAACCTACATGGGAATTACTAAATATCTTTGTCCAACTAAAGTGAGTCTTAAAATCAGACGAGAGGTGAAGGCGAAAATTCTTCCAATTGGTTTACGCACGTTTTAAAATTGCCGCCAGATTCATTTGTATCAAATATCTGGATATTGTCCATTTCCAGCAAGTCCCCTTTTAATGCAAGGTTCTCTCCTTTTATTTTTTACTTGTAGATCTGGGTTGAAGTGTACAGAGTGGCGCATTTAAAGCGATACACCCATAATAAGTGGAAATGTGATATCGCAATGTGTGATTTTTAATTGGTTTCTTATGCTCTTGCTGCAAAGCCAATCATTTTGTGTGTTGAATTTTTTTTAGGCTTTTGGACCATAGTGGTGTATTTAAGACATACAAATTTTAAGGGACACCATATTGCGAATATTATCAGTCCATGGGTTGAAAGACGTATGGCCTCAAACCAATTAGCTAAGGGGGTGCATAGTTGGTGTGGCCGCGTAGATCGCAATAGCCATAGTGAAGTCAAAAAACCCCCATTTAACAAAAACAGAGAGCTCTTTATATCTTTACCATTTACAAAAAGAGCTTAGTAAAAAGGTTTTTATTAATTTTAAAATGAAGTTGGGTCTGTGATGTTTCATTAAATGAATAAACAATGTTAAAGTATTTGGCCATTTAAAATCTGAATTCGTAAGCTTCGCGGCAAGAAGAAAACATATCCAGTGCCGTAGCTTGAATTTTTCTCCCAAAATTAAATGCATAAAAGCGGGAACGATTCAAATTTAAAATTGCCAGATACTGTAGCAGCGCAGCTTACTTATTTAGTAAGCTGTGGTAGCAGCACAGAGAAGAGCTTCCAAAATTTTTGTATAACTAACGCTTTTCAAAAAAATTTGAGAAGACAATCAAGTTACAAATAACTTAATGTTCAACTCCGCTGAACTGGGATACGATTTTTTGTGAACAAAAAATAAAAAAAAGTTTTCATCCAAAGAATAGGACCTAAGCCCCCCGGACGCCAGCCGAGTGTACTTGACACTAGACCATTATGGCACACATTCAATCGTTATTAACTTAGTTCGCATTCCGAAACACTAAACTTGTGGGGAAAGGCGCTACGCTTGTTATCAATTAAAAACCTAACGCTTGCTCGTAGGCATACTTTCTGTTTACTGCAAATTAAACAAGCAAACACTCTCCTGTTGAAGATGCAATACAGGTGACGAGACGTCACGACATTATTTGTGACTGTCCCGCACTCGGACAAATAAGAGGGCCCATTTTTGGGAGATCCTAGCCGAAAATGACCAAGATTAGAGCTGTTTCTCCGGCGTATGCCCTCAAGCGTAGGGTGGTTTGAGAGACGGTGGGCACGGACGACTCTATAATCATGGAGGCGGTAGAGTCCAAAAGGTAGGCCTATGTGCGCGTTGACGTAAGTGCACCATCTAGAAATCCAAATCCAGGTCGCAGTGTAAATGCATTTAGATCTATCAATTTGAAAATATAAAGAAATAAAATGAGAAAGAACTGTTAAACCAGCTTTTGCCTTTTTCATCAATTTTTTGATAGGATCTTTTTTTGTATCGATAACTTTAGTTGATGCTATTAGGTAGGTATACATATACGTTTGTCATAATGTTTTTATTCCCATAAAGGAGAAATTGTGTCATGAAAACGTAGGTACGTGGAGGAAGAAATTATAAATTCAATTAATGGAAGGACCACACGTACGTATCTTTAGTTGTAGCTATACCTACGTCTCAATTTTTTACGTATTCTTTGTACATACCTACTATAGTTAAACGTCGATACGATTTTTAAAAATTCCTCCAATTTTATATGTGCAAACTGTGTCGACAGGAAAATAAGCTACACTACCTACATCCAAAAATGTTTCGTTTCTTTGGAACTTGGTCAAAAGATTAGTAAGTAAGCAGGCAGGTACAAATAAAATAGAAAATGAAGGTCTTCCGGTCCTCTACCTATACAGCTAGTACCTATATGCATGTAGCTCCCACTTCTTTAACATTGTTCATTGCACTTTAACCCGCGCATATGGCATTGGTAAACAATTTTAATTTATTCGAGACGGGCCAAGTCTTTTCCGGCTACTTGCGTTAGTGATACACATCGCTTCTTATGCGACAAGGACGCATCTGAATTCGGATAAAGCAAATAACAATCGCGTACGCGCTATATACGGTATTTTATGTTTCACACCCACCTTTCTGTTATCGTTATCAGTTAGAAATACATCAGAAGTAGTACAAAGCAAAGATTAGTATTTTATGTCAGTTGTATAGATGAAAGCGTTTGTTTAAAAGCAATGTGTTTGAAGAATGTGTAGGTACCTATACAAGGGTTAGCAACGGCGATTACCATTTTGTAACTGCCGACTTCTTGTAATCAAAGGATTCAAAGGTAAGTTTTAAAGTAGAGTATGGAATTTTGGAAGTTTCCACTCAACTTCTCATAAACTGTTATGTTGTGATTTGTAAGTTTTGAAGACCAACACAGAACAAATGAGTATTTGAGTAGGTAAGTACCTTTCACGTATACCTATCTCGTCACATACACCTAAATTCAAACATTTAATAATAAATACCTACAACATGTGAGAGCTTTGCTTGAGTTGTTCCATAACAATCCAAACGGAATTTGGGTAGCAGTTTGACAAAATTTTAGAACTAATGGACGAAAGGAGAAAATATAAAAAGAAAGGCATCAATTCATTATGGTATAGAGATAAATATAAAGAGTTAAGAAACAAGGGCGATAAAGAATGTAAGTTAGCAAAGGAACAGTTGCACCAGGAGAAATGCGAAGCAATAGAGGATGGACAAACAGGAAAATTAAGAGTAGTTTCAGTAAGAGGCAACGCTGAGTCTAGTGTTCTGCAAGATGAAGATTGAACAGAACTCATAGAACTTATATATAGTAAGGGACAGGGTAGAGAGGTGGGAAGAGTAGGCACGGGGAAAAACTATTTATAGGGCAGAAGAACCGTTAATAATAATAATAATAATTTTTTATTTCATGTGCAGGCAGTACAAAGACAGCTTACAATCGTCATACAATGGAAAATGAACACAACATATTTATACATTTATATTTCCACCGAGTCAGTAGCTCGGCAAACTACTCTGAATCATTTCTCGAAACAAAAGAAAATAGAGAATCCAGAGTGATCGACTTCGACACCGATGAGCATCTGGAGTAGGTACAACGATCCATTTACTACAGAGGAACTAGAAATCGCCATTCGGAGCACAAAGTCTTGTGCACCGAGTCTTGACGGCGTACATAACGAGATGCTTCGCCATTGTACTGATGACCTGAAAAAGAGTATTTTAAAATATTTTAACGTTTGCTGGCAAAAACATACTTACCCCCGAGAATGGAAGAAAGCCATCATAGTCCCGATACCGAAACCGGGGAAGGACCCTCTACTCCCAAAGCACTATCGCCCAATCAACTTAACTTCCTGCCTGGGAAAGTTACTAGAAAAACTAGTGAATGTGCGTCTCCAATCGTTTTTGGAGAGTAGTGGAGTACTGGTACACCGTATCAGGCCGGGTTCCGTAGAGGGCGATCGACGATCGACCATCTTGTCGGGCTCGGCGATGAAATCCTGCGGGCACTAGACCAGCGCAAACACCTTGTGGCGGTATTTTTCGACATTAGAGGAGCATAAGACATGACGTGGAGACAAGGCATTGTAGAAAAAATGTACAACTACAATCTACGCGGAAACTTACCCAAGTTTGTACAATCGTTCCTCGAGAGACGAACATTTGCCGTCAGGATTGGTGATGTCCATTCTGGAGACCGCGTGCTGGAGAAGGGTGTCCCGCAGGGTTCCACGTTGAGCTGCTCACTTTTCGCTATAGCGATAAACGAGATTGCCCGAGGAGTTACGAGAGATATCGACAAACGCCTTTACGTCGACGATCTCATGATAAGTTGTCCGAACGAGACGGTCGGTGGTGCGACGCGAAAACTTCAGGTCGCCATTGAGCGTATATATAGAAACGCGAGCGAAGTTGGATTCGTGCTCTCGGAAGAGAAGACGAAGGCACTGCATTTTTGCCGGCTCCGTAGGCCGCACTATGATCCCGTACTGTTCATGAACGGCCGAATCATTGAAGTGTCTCGGGAAATTAAATTTTTAGGCCTGGTTTTTGACAGTGAGCTTAGGTGGACTAGTCACGTTGAAAGCCTATTAACATCATGTCGAAAACTCTTAAATATCATGAGGGTACTCGCCCATCACAGGTGGGGAGCTGATCCCAAGACACTTATCGATATATATAAGGCACTGATACTTTCGAAACTAGACTACGGATGTAACGTCTACTCCACCTGTAACAACACTTTGCTAGGACAACTCGATAAAGTCCAGAACCTCGCACTGAGGTATTCACTCGGAGCCTTTCCGACGAGTCCGATCGACGCCCTTCACGTCGAGGTAAACGTTCTTCCGCTGTCCCTGCGTAGAAAGCAAATCTCCGCGCTGTATTATTTAAATGTGTTGTTAAACGACAACCACCCGAACCACCGAATACTCGTGAATCAATCGGGAACTGCGCGATTGAATAACTGTAGATCTCTGGGCATGCGAGCGAAAGAAGTTCTGGAAGAATTAGATTTAGATGTGGTAGATTTCACGGACTCGACCAAAAAATCGCGGCGGATGATTGCTGGGGGTCAAGTGAAAAACAAATGGGAGGGAATGTGGACAGAGGCAGAAAGGAAACTGAAGAAGATTAAACCAAACCCAGGACCATTACTGCATGTAAAGTTGGGAAGATACGCTCTAACGAAACTATACAGATTGCGGATAGGGCACACCGCCCTTACGCATAGTTTCTTGCTGATGGGAGAGAACGCTCCCGAATGTGAGACATGCGACGTTGCCTTGTCGGCGGAGCATATACTATGTGATTGCACACAATACGACGCACAACGCGTTACCTTTAATATTAAAAGGAATTGGGAAGACAACCTGAAAGGAAGAGATGAATGTGTAAACACAATAAATTTCATGAGAAGCATCGGTATATTGAATAGGCTATAACCTTCAAAATATGCCAATTCGAAAAGTGAAGTAAGGCTAATGGCCACAGAAGCCGATGCTTATTAAAAAAAAAAAAAAGATATAGCGGAATTTAGATACTCATCTACACTGTAAAACGCCCACTTTACTAAATACCTACCGTTAGCGAAAGTAGAGCGACCAAAAACCACATAGGAAGAACTATAAGATTTAGGATACTTAGGTCAGAGTTCGACAAAGCTATAAAGGGCTTAAAGTAAGGAAAGCAACAGGAGCAGATGCAGTATCGGCAGAATTAATCAAACATTTGGCAACAAAGGTAAAGGATAGAGTCTTTAAACTATAACGACAGCAGGGGCGCCGGAAGAAAATGCGCTAGGGAGGGGCCCTTACATTTTTAGAATAGAAAATGTGACCTAGGTAAATATTTTTAAATTAGCCACTCAATAGGATACGCAGCTAAATCCTATATCCAATAAAAACCATTGGTGTAATAGTGTAACAGGTCATATTAGACACAAAACAAAACAAGAACAAAAGTAACAAGTTACAGTAGTTCACTGAAAAAAAAAAATGAAATTAATAGCACTATATTATAAAATTTGCTCAGCCGTTAAGTAATGAGGGTTTAACACACTTGCGCAATTCTCCCCGAAAGCTTTTCAGCTCTTCCTTTTATATCTAAGAATATTGTTGAGATATTTGAAAATGCCTGCTTTCCTTAACACCTTGATTTAGTTTTAATTATTGTAAAAATAGGTAGTAATGAAAGAGTTTTTAGTTGCCATGAATAGTTAGTTGTAGTAATACAAAATCGCTGATTGAATCTGTTTCATTTTGGTCATTACTTTTTCATATTTTTGCTCACTTGTGTTTATTAAAGTGTTTTCTACTTTCTTTGACTTTCGCTTCTTAAAAGAACACCAAAAAATATGTGTACCAAATTTGGTTACTATAAGAGTACAGACAGACCGACATCATCAAAATTTTGTTGGATTCCGATTCCGGTGCGTCAAAACGTGTATTTCCGTAAAACAAGTGGGGGATCATTTTTTACCCCAATGCAATACCTCCCTTCCTAACGTGCGCGGTGCGGGTGATAAAAATTACAGTGCGTAAGACAAATTCGAGGACAAACATTAAACTGTTTCTGCATAATTTTTCTACTCAAAAGTATAACAAATTACCAACCATATCGTTATTGATTACAATGTTGAATGTAGAGTAGGGTAAAACAATTTAATTATTTCGAACGAATAAAAATTCCTCTTACGTGATAGTTTTGTACGTCTGCCTGTCCGTCTGTTCCTCGTATTACATGAGAACGAAAAGACACAGCGATGTCAAACCTTCGCCAATCGATTTCTACGAGTTCAAGGATCAGTGCTATGGAATATGAGTCGGATTAAAAGTCTGATTTCCCAATACGAGCTGAATAACAAAAAATTCCCCTACTGAATCGTAGGTACTTATGCGATTCTTCGTATATTCATCAGCATCACTTTATGTGCATATCTATTCCATAACAAGTTAAAAACGTGGTCACTCGCGACCGACGAAAGCGCATTTTCCCCGCACAGAATCAGTAATTGCTCGGGAAGGAAGTGACTAATCCAAAAAGTCTTTTGTCGTTCTGGTCTCGAGGCTGTGCTACATCATATAAGAAACAAACCACAACGAAAAAGCCTAAAGTGGAGGACTAGTAATGGTAAAGACGGACAAAGTGCTGACAATAGCGTTCGTTTTCCTTTTGGAAAATGCGCTAAAAAGCGGCGAATGTAAGTGACAAGATTGTCATTGATGTTTTTCCAAAACACACAGCCACCCTGCGGTCTTTGGTTAATTTAATCTCTATAGTCTATACAATATGGGAACTTTATGGACATTGAGGTAACTCAATAAGGTTATAAAAGGTTTACCTACTTTTGCTTTGTCACCGAACAGCGATGGGACAGAAAAAGGTGGCTGGTGTTCTGGTCACAATAAATGTGAGCTTTCAACATTTTCAGTTTTCTAAGATCGATTAAGTGATTTCTCACATCCCAAGGAGGCCCTTTAGTAGCGGCGCCCACGTTCGACAGGGTTAATTTGGGATAATGAAGGTAGCAGAAATCGTATACGAGTCTAAAGATAGGAGGGTAATGTTCAACCTATATAAAAAACAGAGAGCGGTGATTAACGTAAAGGGTAAGGTCGCAGAGGGGGGTTAGAGAGGGCTGCGCTTTGTCACCGGTAACATTTAACCTTTACATAGAGGAAGCCATAAATATAGTAAAGCAGAATCTAATTTAGGGGTCAAAGTGCAGGGCGAAACAATAGGTATATACCTACGCTGCGATATACGGATGATTTTAGCATAAAGGAAGTGTAGAAACAGGATTAATGATACAGACTACAGCATGAAAATTAACTACGAAAAGCAAAAATAGTGAACTGCGCGAAAAGAGATGACAGGAAAAAGATAAAGGTCACACTTTAAAGCAGGGGTACTCAAACTTGAACTGCTGATGATCTACCTCAATGTTGTTAGACTCCGATCGATCGACTTTGAGAGGCTGCAATTATGTGTGAATCAGGATAGCTGTTTACGTAGTTAGTATAAAATAATATATAAATGTGGAAAATGGCACAGAGAAGATGGGGTAGAATGATAGCGCACGCGCTCAGGCACGAGCGATTAGTATAGCTAGCTATAGAAGTTAGGTGAAAGGGTAAGACAGGTGTAGGACTCCAGAAGCTTAGGTACATAGACCGAATAGTTGGGGACGTAGGCAAAGGTAGTACCTAGTTATGTAGGAATGAAATGATTAGCATAGGATAAGAAAGGGTAGAGGACTACGTCCTACCATTCCTCTGAGTGCGAACCCCGAGAAGAAGAAGAAGGGTGTGATAAAAGATTACCACCACCAAAGAAAAGCTAAAACGCAGTGTTGAGCGGAAAAATTGATATCAATGATGTTTTGGGATTGTGGGGGATTCTATTGAAGAGTATATGAAAAAGCGCATTATAATTAACGGAGATTTTTATAAAGCGTCTACTAAAACCTGAAAGCTACAAAGAAAAGACTTTAAAATATATGGCCTATAAGACCGTACTGGTACGCCACAAGGTACAGGGTGCACAACGCTCAAAAACATCGATGAATGTCACGTCCCGGAATTAAGATCTCTCTTTCGTCCGAATTTAACATCTTGTGACTACTATTTTTCCCTAAATTCAAAAAAACACTTGCATTGCTGTTAGTGACCATTTTGATGAGTTACCAAATGAATTGTTTTGAAAGTATCTGTGTATTTCAGAAAGGGCGAAATAAGTGTGTTGAGGTTGAGGATACATATGTGCCTTAAATTTCTTTTGCTTCATATCTAGGTAGATTACATGAAAATGTCCCCTCGTAACTGCACCAAGGAGAGCGGCTCTGAATTAATCGAAAACATCCCCAACATGCTTTCATGTCCCAGGTCCAATCAATTTATTATAATTTGCATTTCCATTTGGCCGGCAACTTCAACTAGTGCAGTGTAAGACATTTACCTACTAGATGAAAACATGCTTATAGCAGGACGTATTCTTGTAATGCACGCAGCAGATTGTAATCATTGTTCACAGTTTATGTATCTAAAGAAAACCATCACTTATCATATTATACTTTCAGTTACGAATTTTGACAGAATTCTCTAGGTAGTGCCGTTGAGTGAAAAGTAATTTTCACTCAACGGTAGTGCGCAATGTTGCGGAAATAGGCATAATCAATCCATCAAAGCTTCTACACACTTCATCGATTACTTTGATTGTGCCAATATTTCATTGTCGCGTGTGCAGGTATAAACTACCTACTGTAAGTCGGAAAATGAGTTGCGCTCTTAATCCATCGTCAGACCGCGATAAATGATCTTTGAGGGACTGAGAGCATCGTTCAAAAATGAAACGAGTCTATAGCATTACATTTACATTCGAATTTTTCATCACGAAACAGTATTAGTAGCATACATTTGTTAGGAAGTTTGATAATAAAGACCCCGCATAGCTTTTAGGGTCATTAAAATTCTAACGAATTACGGACCCTTGCGAACTTTAAATGAAGTTTACACGGTGTTTAGTACGAAAACTTGCATGCTATAACACTGCGCCTGGCCGATCAAACAGAAAAATTAAATTTCTCCTTCAAATTTTGTGCGAGCGTCGTTGCTAGGGAATTCAAAATTCGTGGGGCGGTTTGTGTATGGCGCAGGGGTTGCCGCCAAATCAATATACCACGCGCGGCGAATTTTATAATGCTAATTGCGCATGTGTGAAGCATTTTTTTCGTGGAACAAGGGTATGAATGGAATGACATGCGCCTTTCCATGGTACATCGCAGATATTTTCATGACTCTCATTCAATTTCCAATATTTGTTAGACACGTGCTATGAGTTATTTATACCTACCGCAGTTTGAAAGCACACGTGGAAAATTTAAATTTACTTGTCGAAGTGGATACATTCAATTAAAATGGGCGTCGCGGTTTTTAGAGCGTCTTGGCCCTGGCCTCATTGTTGACAAGTGAATTGGGCTGTTAAATTTAATATGTCAACAGCATTATGATGGATGAAATTCGTGTCATGTTTTAGTAAATTTGTGAACAGAAAAACTGTGAGGTGATTATCATGTTACATTTCAGTGGATGCGATGGTATGGTGTTGTGAACCTTGAAAGAAGGTGAGAGTGATCTGTTAAAAAAACTATGTGGAGCGCCGTGGCGCCATGCGATGTGGAGAGTCCGGCACCATCAGCTCGTTCAAAGCACAGCGCTACCCTTGTTGGCCAACATTTATACTTGCTAGGTGGACGAAATGGCAACTTGCCGCTGAAAGATTTTTGGAAATACAATTTAGGTATGATTTACTCATTAAAAAATAAACTTAGCGGGTAAGCTAAAATTATCCCAAACCACCAGTTGAATTCCAATCACCTTTCCATTCATTAACCGTAGGTGGTGCGTGACAATACTGAAAATTGGTACCTACGATTGGTAATTGTGACTTTCTCTGTAAATAGACGATCTTCTCTTAGACTTCTCTGAAGGGAAAAGCGTCAATCGATCAATTACTAGCATATTGTTTTTATCAAATTTGGTTTTCCCTCGGGCACCCCACGACGTAGTAATTTACTTTACATTCCCCTGTTAGCCAAATGATGTATTGTATCATGTACCGATTACCACATAAATAGATTGCTTTTTCATCATTCGCTCCCCCTTTGTTAGACTGTAGCAAATGGGAAATTGTCAGCACGTTTTAGGGTGCTACACACGTACTCATGAAGCGTACTGTGTTTTAGTGACTGGGAAATGGCAGCAGCTAAAACCGTCAGGTGATAAGTTACCTTGTCTGCAGGAACACTCCGCCGTAGTGCACAAGGATAATATTTACGTTTTTGGGGGAGAGGTTGGATTTTCGGCGGGATCCGAGACCCCTCTTTGGATGTATGACATAAAAAATAACAACTGGAAAAAAATAAGGACGCACAAGGGTGAGTAAGTTAGTTTCAGTTTCAAATAATCGTTACTACCTAAGGTATCTCGAACACAACGTCAAATGCAGGGAATTAATTAGTTTTGAGTCGTCGAAGAGAGCTCATTGCGAATAACAAAAAGGTACCTAATTGGTTTTGAGCCGTCGAAGAGAGCTTATTGCGTGTAACAAAACATTAATTCGTTGTGTGGGTTGTCACAGAGCTCAAGTATAAGAAAGAATTTAGAAATCAGTGCAAAACCGTCCATCAGTCCCACAAATTTTAAGCGTTTTGTAGTTAATCAAATTTAAAAAAATGTAAAATCATTTGTACGAAAGTGTTGAGGATTGAATTGTGAATTTTTAAAATAAATTAATAAATAATAAATTAGCGAAGGCAGGCTTTTCGTGAGAAGGTCAATTAACTGGACGGCTCGTTGGATAAACATTCAGGAAGAGATTAACGGGAAAATGTAGTGAACATAAACCGGTGTGCGGTAGATTTCGTATCAAGAACTGTAGAAAAATTATGAAGGTACGAGTGGATTTTTCTCGCGCATAACGTTAGAGTTACTGGTCGATCAGTAAAATTTCCAGTTCGAAAGCGTAAGTTTTAAAAGAAACAAATTAACCCAGTTTCAACGAGTAACAATGAACTTGTTTGGCCTTATAGTGCGTTAATAATAACTCAAATTGCGAAAGCGGAAAGTTACTTGTATGATGCTCTAAATAGAAAGCTCATTGCTGTATCATTTGTCTACGGAAAAGTAGTCGTAGAAAATGTCTAGAAAACTTCAACAATATTTCTTCAGGAGATACAAGTTTCATTCTATATTGTCCTCCAGCTTTAAGACACAATCTCTTCGAGAAAGGCCGTATTGTTTTGTGCCATAGGGAAACCATCGATTCCAGAAACCGCTTTAATTAAGGCAATTGTATTACCTACATTTCTTTCACTACTAGCGTCTGATGACACGATTATTAACCTTTTTTCAACTTGTAAAGTAGGTTTTTTCGGCAATTATTCAATTTTAATCAAACAAAAGCAAAATTTTGTTTGATAACCAATCGTCAGTACAAATTGATTGATAGAAAAAACGTAAACGTGACGTTAACTTTAAGGAAAGTCCTTTACGATGCACAAATATTTAAATTTCCAACAACAACAATGAGCTGCTAATTGTAGGTCTCGGTAACTTTAATAACTAATTTACAAAGCTTGCGAAGGACTTTGTCCACCACAACAGGCCGCTTTAAAAAAATAAACGGTGAATTTAGTGCAACATAAATTAGCTTCAATTAAATGAATACAACTCAATTTTAACGGAAACGATGACCGCGGCGTTGGTGTTACGGAAACTCTGGCGCCACCAAGAGATGCAAACTTTCCCTTGGACAAGTATTCGGCGGTAGGAATGGGTTCTTGCCTGATGTGGTGATTACAATGGCGTCCAGGGAACGAGCTATCGGTGGTGAGCGGAGAAAACTAGCAGAAAAACTAAAGTACACGAAACGGCAACGATTTCTCGAAGAACGACAATGCAAAGTAATTAACGGTTGTTAAGGAAGGTGAACAGCGGGGAATAAAACATAACGAATCCCTCACACACAACTCTAGAAATTAAATCAGTTATCCTTAGCATCTATCGTCAACTCCCAGAACCAACACAAATACTTTCTCCACGACACTTTCCGAAACAAAACGCTTGTAGGTACCGGGTGTTCAGCAGAGCTGGTCGACTCCACAAATATACAGTGTGGTTATAACTTCGGGTCTGAAACTTCAAGGTGGAAAATAGGTGCTTCATTACAAGCACGGGTAACTAAATATCTTCGTATACCAAACTAATCTGAAAGATAAAATCTAATCAAACTAACATAAAAAATCTTCGTATCGACAAAAGTAACATAGACAAAATCGAAATATCGAAAGATATTTTCTTCGAAACGACAAGTACGTAGAATTAGAAGGATCGAGGCAATTTACAAGAGATATAATCTTGCACCCTTCTTTAAATACCTTCCACCTAGAAAGCTTCGTTAAGTTAACTTACCAAGTAATGGGCTTAACGAATGATCAAAAGACTGTGTAAATGCAAAATTGCGCCGAGAATTTACATTTGAATGTATCGATTAATTTTTAAATTTTTTTGATTGTTTTATTGTTTACTGTCACTTTAGGTTCTTGATTTACCTTTAATCTCTTCGGGGAAAATGACACTTTAATTCACAAATGGCTGACAAACCACGTTAATTTAGCACACGGCATACAAAATCCATTCTTATAATCCTAATTGGGGTCACATAAACTATAATGGGACGATTTACACGGATTGTCATAGGCTATATGCTTAAAAAAAAGGCTGTAATGGTTGATTCAAACTCTGGAACGCCAATAAAATAGAAGCAAGGATTATTCTTTCATATTTCAGCTCACAAGCGATCGATATCTATAAGTTTGAGTATGGGATTAAAGAATCTAGAGTTTCATATTAAGCTTATCATATCCATACGAAGTCTAAAACCTAGCAAAATTACTCAATTTTAGTAATCGCCTGATCTACAAATATTTATAGCTAGATATGCAATAAATTTCAATAGAGGCGGAACTTTTAGGTATTCGTACATAAAACATATGAAACTAACTCCATAGGGGGGTACGCCAAATACATGTAAATAAGCACTTATGGTATTACGTTTTCGTATCTCGCCCTAAACACATCCAATCGAAATTTGATCAACCAATACGAGCTCGACGGGTAGCATGCAAATATAGTTCTGTGAGATGAAATGAGTATTAACAAATTGCAGGAGCGGTTACACCTAAGGGCAGAAGAGGACATTCAGCTTTGGTTCACAAAGGAACAATGTTAATTTACGGCGGCTATCAAGATCTGAGAGGTTCGTGCAGCGAGCTTTGGGGATATCACTTTGGTAGTCGATAAAGCGTGATCATCGAGACGATATGTAAATGTTTAAACATTTTAGATTCCGGATCGTGGCATCTGATCTCGTCGACAACAAAATCAAATCCCGATCTATGCCCGCCGCCACGTCACAAGCATTCGGCGATACTTCACGAGGATGCGATGTGGGTATACGGAGGAATGACCGATTTGCAAGAGCGTTCCGATTTATGGAAGTGGGATACGGTTTCGAGTACGTGGACGAATTTTAAAGCTAAACAGCATCCGGGACCTCTTCATAGTCACGCTGCCTGCCATTTACCGTCATCCATGATTATTTTTGGGGGAGAAAGAGAAGGCCACTCGACTAATGATTTATGGAGGTTTAGTTTCAGTAAGTATTTTTATGCGAGGCACGCATCTGTATCGTGTTGTATAGCATTCTATAATTTGAACACTTCGCCTTTTATTCTTGCTAACTCTAACAAAAATACTCATCCACAAACAGGAGGTGCCATGCAAGACATGAAACACAAGCTATTGCTATTTTTCCTACTTTCGTTTTCATAACTTAATTTACTTTTGTGTGACGTCTACACCATGATAAATTGGTCGATTCCACAAGATAGAATTTTGGGTTAAATGACATGTAGAATATTCGTGACACATTTATCCCCCAAGCGTATTTTGCATGTCTTGTTTTAACGTCAAATATAAAGTAGTACTCATTGTTCTTATAATCAATAACCGCTCATTTAAAATAGGTCACTCCAATTGAGAGTTTTGTCATTCCTAATGAATTTAGTAAAATTACCTAACGCATGTCTTCGTCAAGCGCAATGCATTTAATGGGTTTTTTACTGTAAATATTCAGGCGTTCCATCATTATTTGAATTAATCACGATTCAAGATACTAATACAATTTACGTAATTGAAATTGTGCAGTAATGGAATCTGCAGTGCAACACTCACCTACTTTTTTGTAATTATTTATTGAAAGTTTTAAGTTTCACGTCAGCGCTTCTATTACCCCCAGTTTTCAAGCGGTTTGTACATAACATTTTGCTTGCTAAAGTTGATCCAATCGGTTAAGATTAAATGAAATTGTTAGTCTTGATCGCTTCAGTTCAACGTGCAGAGGACTATAATGCTAAATAACTAAAATTACATTTATAACTTTGCACCATGACTTTGCCATACAGGTTAGTGTGATCAATATATACAAAATCAAGCACTGGGCATAAATCTGCATTAAAACTAAATGTGATTATTCTTGCTTGATGTTTAATTACGTACTATCTTTTTATTTCTTTGAGTATTAATCTATTAAGAAACGGTCTTTTCTTTGCAATAGCTGCCATACAAAAAAAAATTACCCTAGTACGCAAACTGCACGGTAAGGTTTGCCTATATGAGAGAGGATTTTAAAAGTTTTCTGAAATCCAATATAAAGAGAACACCATCCTAGTGGTCTTACGTAAAGTATAATTCCACATACAAACATGAGTACTTGTTTATGTTTGCTTAAAACCACATACGTAGTCATCCCATTTGAGCTTTTATACATCAAGGACTAGAGTGCAACCCCTAAACCTACATGACAAGTGGCAATAGCGAGGGGTGGCGTTATTGCGAGGGGGTTTCGGCGCTTGCATCTTTTCTGTATGTGCTTTAACCCTTGTTCATTTAGGTAAAACGCAAACTTAAATTATGCATTTTTTAGCTACCGAGATGTGGGAGAAAATCGTAGTCAACGGCGTCAAGCCTCAACCACGGGCGGAGACGGTAGCGCTAACAGTTTCGCAACTGCTCTTGAAAGAGACCTTATTTCAATCGCTAGAAGCAGGTGCAGCAAGAACGAGGGCGCGCACTTGCAATTCCGCCGATAGGGGAGGCAGGCATTCATCTTACCTTCCGACTAACCGCGTATCTCCCTTCGAAAAAACCTACGTATTTAAGGCTTCCACGAATAATTACATTGATGGAAGCGAAACTCCAGCCCAACAGCAGTGCGAAAATGGAAATGGAAATAATAAAGGTGGATTTTTGCAGGAAATATCAAAGCTCTCCAATTTAAATATCTCTCGCTTGAATAATAAATGCAGCTACACCGTTTTAGCTGGATGCACTACGGATAGCACGGAAAGCCTTTTAAGACAATATGCTTCTCCTCAAGGGATCGATAACGATTTAGTAGATAATGAAATTGCGACACCGACAAGGGGGACTTTAGTTAAATCAAAATCAGCATACGTAATCAAAAGGAGGGACATGCGAGATGTTTCACCAATTGCAGATAGTGAGAAAACAAAAGATGTTTCACAAAAAAATCAGCGACACGTCGAGTTTGTGGACGGCATCAAAAAGATTCCCAGAGAACCAATTTCGGTACCAAATTTTAGTGTGATAACCTTACCTACCCCAGTTTTAACACCAGTAGAAGCAGCTCGATTGGTGTTTCTAGATTCTGACGAGGAAACTGACGCCGATGATATTTTTATACCCCCCGCCATTAATAACATAACTCAAGTCAAGACTAATAACTCCAAAGATTTTACTATTTATTCCAACTTTAAAGTAGTAAAACGTGGCGATAGCTACAACTCGCATATAGGCTACGCGGATAATCCTTTATACCAACATATTGTTGGCTGCAACACCTTTCAGGACACATCAGAAGTTGCCGAAGCATCAAATGAGAATATTTCGTCGACTTCAGACTATGCCAGTATAGAGACTGTGAACAGGTTGTCGTCTGCCAGTAGTTACAGTGCAAAGGTGACACCTCAGGAGGAGTTCTACGTGCCCAAAAATGGAGAAGGACCCTTTGGTTTTTGCAACCCAAATTATTTAGGGCCCGACATTAACGCTCTAATTGCGGAGGATTGCATGCGAAAAAAAAACTTCTCCAAACTTTTAAACACGCCCGACAGCGTCTTGGACGACAGTGGTAACGGCGGGAAAAACATAAACGACTGCGTGGAGTTGCAAAGTTATGGAACTATTGACAGGAACACAAAAGTTCGCTACTCCAATTCCACTCGTAATGCACCACCAACAAGTTTAGTTTTGGATAGAAGCAGTAACCGAACAAAGCAGATGAAATATAGAGCAAGTAGTGCCAGTCGTGCAGAAAAGAACTGTAACAAAACAGAACCAACGCATTACGAAGATCCTGGCCCAATAAACGATTACGTTCCTCTATATGTATTTGTAATTGGTGGCAAGGAACAGGGACAGGTAACCGTATTTAAAAGGCCATTATCGATCTGGCGATTGAAATTGTTTTAAACAATTATGTTTAACGAGCTGAAATCCGTCTAAAAGAAATCAATAACAAAATTGTGCCAAAGAAAATTTTATTAAGATAACTTTGTATTGTAGTATTTCCGGTTTAGTACCCCATTAGTGTTTTCCGTACCATTGTAGGTAGTTTTAAAAGTGGCTGTAATAAAACAAAATCACGCAATCATCGCAAAATCAAAAAAAACGCCATAATTTGTCTAGGGTAGCGATATACAAAATTTATTTAAATATAAGAAATGTTGCCTTAGAAGTACTGACCCAAATTCATTTCTTCTAAACTTGATGGGAACATGATCATTTAACCAAGCTGATGCATCTCATATATTAAATTGTTCACATAGTGGCCTTTGATCGCAGTGTATTTTAGGGTTGCTATTGTTTATTCAGTACTTAAAAGTGCAACAACTTTATTTATTGACCAAATTCTTACTTCCACGGGGTCTTCAAATGAATTTATGGCAATAAGTTAAATTTTTCGAACTTATTTGCTGCGTTCCTGGAAAAAACTCTTAGTCATTAAATTTAAAGCAAAATCACGTGACTACTGTACAAGGTGGTCCAAATTGAACTTTTTCTTATGGCAAATCCCTTATTTTACGGAAATATTTTAGGAAAAAATGTACCTAGGTGCCTGGAACCTAATCTAAAAGAAAAAATCACTGTTCAAATAGAATTTAGCTATCACTAATCATTTGCCCTTTACCTAGAGGGCGTTTCTGGAATTTAGCCGATTTCCTTAATGCTCCATATATATCATACTTATTATTAAAGATAATTGATTTTGGCAAAATCTTTCTTTGAGCACTTTTTTATGTAGAATCCATTGCGATACACAGTTTTTATAGAAGGTGCCTGGTTTTTCTTATACGATCCTAAACTATATTTTTTCATCTGGACCACCCTATATATTTTGGAGTTTTTGGAAAGAGCGTAAAATTTCCTAAATTTTAATGTATCACTTATTACATTTATATTAAATATTATTTGCAATATTGTATTTTATACATTAACATGTTTTTATTGTAGGCGTCTAGGTTTCCATGGCGAACAAAAGATGGCGGGATTGTTTGAAACAGCAATTCCTTGGTTACCTGTATTATTTATTTATATATTACATGACTTATTTGTTTCATTCAGATGTGTTTTCACGTTCTTTGTTTGCAATAAAAACATTTTAATGTATAAAATGCAATATTGCAAATAATATTTAATATAATTTTGTATAATTTTACGCTCTTTCAAAAACCCCAAAATATATATAGGGTGCTCCATATGAAAAACTGTAGTTTAGAGTCATATAAACCAAACACTCTGTATAAAAACTTACTGGTATCGCAATGGATTAAACCGACTAAATTCCAGAAACGCCCTCTGTCGGCCAAACGATTAGTAATAGAGCTCAATTCAGTTTGCGCCAGTAATTTTCTGTTTAAAATTGGGACCTTGGTCTATTTCTTTCTTGTATCTTAAAATAAAAGAGTGTTTCCTTTCCATAAGAAAGTTCGTCCAATTTGGACCACCCTGTACATTACAATGCACGTTATATTTATATTTATGATATTTTTGTGTTTTAAGAGTTTCGGACCTATTTCATAATCCTGTGTGGATAAACAAGTATTAATGTTAAACGACGAAAGCTTGCTTAAACCTGCTTTTTCAGTTAGGGGATTACTTTGAACCGCCTTAATCCTGTAGTAACTAATCAAAAATGTTTAATTTTCTTTGGTCTGTGCATTTAATATGATATGTAGACGATCCATAATATTTACTTATCTTGCAATACGCAACTATTTATTTTAATAGGATCTACCACGTACAGACTGCGTTTTTATTAAATTATTGAATTTCCCCTACCTACTAGAAAAATGGAATGTGCTGGGTTTTGTGATATCAATTTATCTGGAATAACTTTATATAGGCATAATGGTAGAGTACAAGAAAAACAAGAAATAATTAGGTTTGTTAAATGCTTCAAAGCATTTACTTGCAATTTGAGTCCTTACTTTGTTAAAATATCTTCCATGGCTAGTATTAAGTTGTAAGGGCGCGTGTGAAGGTTAGTGATAAATTAGTCCGTTAAAATGTACCTATAGGTAAATAGTGCAATTGGAAAATCCAAGTGAAAGGGAATGAAAATATATTTATAAAGAAGGTAGATTTTGTAAACTTTTTATTCGGCTTTATAGCTACGTAGTGCTGCCATATTACGTTTTTTTTTAAAAACCAAGCTGATGTCTTCACACATTTATTATTATCACACTATCACTAGCGTCTCTCAAGAAACAAAACATTTTGCCATTAAATGTCAAAAATGAACATTTAGTTAAAGCTGTCTTGTGAAGTTCATTACGTACCTATTCAATGTAATGTTCACTTACTTTTGTTTATAATTATTAACCATATTAATTGGTTGTTTCAAATTTAAGTGTAGACTATAGAATAATTTCTATGAGATGTAGTTTGTATATAGATATTGTTAATAAACTTTAGTTTATTAATTTGCTTTTTCTGTTTTTAATTTATTTTATTGTTGTGATCAACTCTAATTTAATCAAAATGGTAGGGTTCCATGGGATGGTTATAACTTTATTCGTAACAGTTGTATTGTTTACATGTGTCCACCAACCATATACGTCCGACACCTTGACGTTTCCACATAATTGCCATGACTTATACTGATGTAGCAAGTCACACTCATCCAATCTTGTGGGTTTTATCCCACCATATCTTTGAAGTGATATCCAAGAAAAAAATCAATTTAACCAAAGGTGTTCCAAAGATTAGCTGGTCACCCCTCTATTATTTATTATTATTTGTTTATTTTTATGTAATGCTTTTAATTTATAGCGGATGGAATGTTAGATGATAGTTACTCTTCTTACGCAATGCTCTACACAAATACAGGCATGCCTTACCTGGGATTTGAACCTATAGCCCCTTGTATACACTGTCATAGTACCAAATAAAGGCAACTAACTGAGTTACGCAGATTGTGTATCTGTAAATTAAAAAGGTTTTGTACATTTATTGATTTTGGAACAATTACATTTATGGCAATTGGTTCGATGCGTTATACCATTGACTTAAAGTCAATTGTAAATTGTAATTGTAATTGGGACCTTGGTGCAGAGAGGCTCGTAATTTTGTAGAGTGTTTAGGAAAACGTATTGCCAGAGTATTACTGGAGAACCCCGAGCTACCAGTTACTTAAGACAAAAAATAAGTATTGCTATACAACGTGGCAATTCGAAACATAAACAATCAACTGATTGGGCCGCGTAATAACTCGCGAGGCCTACCACAAGGATCAGTATTAAGCCCTTTACTTTTTAACATGTACACAGCTGATATGCATAATAACATTGCTATTGAAAATATTCTGTTTAACACTGTTCAATATGCAGATGATCTTTGCGTTTACACCGAAACAAATCAGTATGAACTTGGGATAAATCATTTAGAAAAAATTCATAAATAGTATATTAAGTATGGAGAACGGTAAGGGATTTTTACCGTTCGAAGACAATTGTTTGGAGGAGGAGCGAAGCGACGACTCCAATTATTGTCTGAGAGAACGGTAACCCTTAACGTTCGACGTGCTTATAACATTTTTTGCGCGATCGAAATTAAAATTATGCAACCAATATAAATATGCACTAAGAAATTAACGAGCAGAATAAATCGAAATGATCGAAGTGGTATGGTGTCAATCTCTAGGTAACCAGTTTATTTGTCAAAATTGAAATTAATAATTTCATAAAATGGTGCATGTGTCTGATGTAGTTTACTAGCTTTGTACTTCCTTTATGACTTTATGAGCGTCTTGCTATAGGAAACAACAGCACAAATTGTACGTTTAATGTACCTAACAATAATTAAAGATTAAATCTCGGATTAAATGTAATGTAAGACTGTTGATTTTTAAAAAGGCGTCGGTAAGTATTTTTGCTGTTCTGTTTTTAGATCGGTAAGTAATTTTGACGTCGTCGTAATCATAGCAACTGGTAAATTCTACCTACTGTCATGGAAACACCCATGGTAAATAGTCAGAAATGACCGATCGCGCAAAAAAGTTTCTTACATGGTTCCAAGAGAATGGATTGGATATGTCATCCAATAAATCTAGCATTTGTGTGTTTACTCGACACAATACACCTAATATTAACATCTTACATTTTAATAATCAACAATTTTCTTTTTGCAAATCAATAAAATATTTAGGAATGGTCCTTGACAAGAAGTTAACTTGGAAACTACATATTGAATATATGTTAAACAGGTGCAATAAAGGACTAAATTTCATGAAATCTATCTGGTGGGAGCAGATGTCGCCAGCTCTTTATTATTTTATCGATCTTACATTAGATCAATCTTAGATTATGGATGCATACTTTATGGGTCGGCAAGTAAACACCTGTTGAATAAAATTAAAATTTTTGTAAGCACTGTTCTCCGAATTTGTTTAGGTGCAATGAAATCCACCCCTATCACACCACTGTATGTTGAGGCCCTCGAACCACAACTAGATTTTAGAAGAGAATATCTAAGCTCGAAATTTCTTATTAAAATTCAATGTCAAAACCCTACATTGTACAATAGTATTTGTTTCCTTAATGAACAAGATTTATCAAACAAATTTTGGGTACATAAGAACTCTCCACCGCTTTGCTCGGCTTTTCGTTCTATTAATGAGGAAGGTATTTCGGTAAACCACACAAATACCTGGGAACTGGGAGACTATTTCTCCTTATTCAAAAATGTTAACGTTACTGAACCCAATTATTCTGATAACCCTAAAATAAGCGAAAACATTTTAAAATCCATTCTAGAGAATTGGCCTGTATCTATTATCATATATACAGACGGATCCAAAGACGAGTTAGGGACTGGCTGTGCTTTCTATATCCCGACTTCACAGACGGAGAAATCTTTTCAGCTCCCTAGTAACTTTTCCATTTTTAGCGCAGAGGCAATAGCTATATATGAAGGATTGAAATATTTTCAAACCCTAGATGAAAGGTCAGCTGTCATAGCATCCGACTCTCTATCTGTGCTAAATAGCGTACAAAGTACAAGTCTTCTTTGTAACAACTCTAATGAGTACATATTCCAAATAAAAAGAATGATAAATGATTTATTTAATGTGAAGAAAGAAATACATTTCTTATGGGTTAAAGCCCATATAGGACTTAAAGATAACGAACATGTAGATCAACTAGCAAAAAAAGCTATTACGCAAGGTTCCAAAACGGACTTTAAACTTTGTATTCCCGATGTTTACGCATACTTAAAAAAGAAAAATAAGGAGCACTGTAAAAGTTCCTGGAATAACTTCCGTGCCACTTCCAGTACGCAATATTCCATAATACAACCTGATGTCCCAAACGAGTACTGGTTCAAAAATATACAGGTTCCACGGAAGTATATAACGACTATTATTAGAATGAGGTTTGGGCATGCGTGCTACCCAGCCCACTTACACAAAATACATGTCCTGGATTCCAGTCTGTGTCAACTTTGTAGAGAAACAAGTGATCTAAACCATATCTTTTTTAACTGTACAAAATATAGACAACAATCCGAAAACTTAATCGAAAAATTAATTAAAGAAAATCTCTTCCCTCCTCATAATATATGCTCCTTATTAGCGCTAAATAGAAAATGTGTTTATGAATGCTTGTTTGAATTTATTTGTGAAACGAAAGTATTCCTGTGAGTTCCCTTAGTCTTGTACCTCTGTTACTATCCTACTTGTGGTAAGCCTTACCGTGGCCTGTTCTTGTTTGTAACAAAAAAAAATGTCTTGAAGGGTCCCTTGACGAGAAGCGTGTGACCTCGTTCATTATCCTTTTTCTCCAATTAAATTATTACATATATATTGAAGCTGGCTGAATATGCTTTGCATCAAGCCATAAAAAACCAAAAAAAAAAAAAAAAAAAAAAAAACGTGGCAATGCGGCAAGTGTAATGGGGACGCTTCCAACTGCGATCCCCATGGAAGAAATTTATTATTTATTATGAATGTTTGATCTTTAGAAATTTTTAATTTTTCATTTGTTTAAATAAAATTTATATAATTGTAACACATCGAATAAAATCAACGTCTTAAAGTCAATGGTTATACACATTTTGCTTTGGAAACAGTACTTGATTATTCAATGTCAAATTACGGTTAGGTACCTATTAGTCTTTATTTTTATTATTAGCATACAATTGTAATTGTTGAACACAAAGATGTATAGCGAAGACGATAAGGTTGAAATATTAAGACAGTGGGAAGGTGGTAACAGTTTAAAAACTGTAAAAATTGAAACAGCATTTGTGCGCTAAAGAAGAATTATTCAAAAATAAAAATATGGCCGTCAGGCAGCTATCGATTGATTTGTTCAGAGGTATCCTTCCTATGAGTGTCCATCCTAATAATGTCTCCACTGCCACCAGACCACTGGAAAGCATTTGACTTTTTCCTGTGTACAGCTTCCCAGCCACATTCTAACAATTAGTATTCCTACGGGCGCAGTTTCACCTTGATTCGATAAATGTATATTCAGTACCTTTAATTCATCGACCCATGGCCCTTCGAAGATTGGCACAACATCTGCACAAATCGTAAATTTCCTTTCGCTTTTACGAACAAAAATGGACAACTCATGATTTTGGTTGTCGCAAAATACACACCTGGCCACATCACCTTTCAGCTACGAATTGACTGATTCAGCTGCAGTAGGTGGAGTTTTTTCTGTATTTTGACTATGTTTTGGTCTCCAGAGTTGGTTTCACAAAGTCCAAACCTTTCAGTTACCAAAGTAATTCTTGGTCGCTCTCCACTCTCCTTTCTGAAATTCCATAAGGTCGTTTAATCGGGTCACAGAAGACGAAGGTGTGTCCAGCCATTCTGATGAACTGGAACTATCCTTTTCAGTGGTACAATTTGTCACTATTGCTAAGGGCGATCTCTGCCATACCCCCAACAATTCTTCTGGCAAACATGATTCTATTACAGAGAATAACATAGACACACATTCTTTTGGCGCCACTCCCAAAGTGCCTTACGCCATCAACTGAGTTGAAATACCATCATAAAAGATGGAGATTTAATTCTCTACCAGAAACCGCGTTATTAATAATAATTAATTTCAAGAGCTCACGAACATATATTTTGATCTGTAAATCCTCTCTAACGAAATCTGCTTTGTTATTGTCGAGTTCCCTTTTCTTGGACTTAATTTTAAATACAGAAGGGAGAACATTTTGGTATATTGATCGCTTGTTTCCAACTCCCTTTCCAATTCTTCTTCTGTAACACTATCGTCTTCAAGGAGAATGTCATACATTTTCTCGTTCAACACTTTAAAACCGTCTGATTGATTGTGTGCTTAATAAATATTTTTTTCTTCAAACGTCAAAATATTAGGCCATTGTTCGACTGAGTAGTAGGCGCCAAAGTTTGACATTATCGTTAGAGCAGTTTTTACTTTTCCTTTTCCTGTCGCCGGAGGGAAAAGTGTTGTTATGGAAACACAACAATTTCATTTATTTATTCAAAAAATTATGATATATTTTCAGACTTATTCATTAATGTAATATTAAATGTACAATTGGTAAGTGTTGCATTCTGAAAATTGAAGCCGTGCAACGATGAACTAGACCCTGTTAAAGTATTTACTCTCGATTTAGGCGATGACCTCGGCGAAGACGACGTTATTAGATTTCCTGATGCGCCTGTTTCAGTTACCGCAGTTTCGTTTAAATTTAATATTCGGCTAGCATTTTCTTTTTTGTTGCGAATCGACTCTTCTATGTACCCTTCTGCTACGGAAGTCGACCTCCAACCCCCGTGGCGCTTCAACGACTCCATAGTTCCTCCACCATCGATGAGTAATGTAGCCGAAGTACGCCTTAAACAGTGACCCGTATATTCTTGGACATTGCCTAATTTTAGAAATTCGGCGACTTTTCTGGGTACAGCACTAATCGTATGAATCCCCATAACATTTTTATAGCACTTCCCATTCTGATATTTCAAAAAAAACCTTCTCTCTTGCATATCTCTCGGTCTTAATGAAGCGTACTTGTGGTAAATATTCATGAACATTTCTCCGATGATGGTAAACGAGCGCACTTTTTTCGTTTTGCTATCGGGAATTTTTATTAGGATTAAATTTTCCATATCTTCAATGTCGCCTATATTCATTTTCATCATTTCGTCGCATCTGCATGCCCCGGTTACTCCGATTAATAAAACAATCTGAATCATAATAATATTACATTGGGAGAATTAAAACTGATTTAAATTCACCTTTATTCCTAAATATACATCATCTGGTGCGTCCATTAGAAAACCTTCAAACTGCTCTTTAGTAAATATTCTGGACTTTTTTGCAGAATACCCTTCATTGGCCTTTTTCAAAAAACATCGTAGCTTTAAATATTGACTTATATTTATTCCATGCTTGATAATTAATTCGGATTTGATCATGGAATAACGAGACCACATTGTCGAAGATTTCCATTTTTTATCTTTTTGCATCTGATTAAAATACGCAAGAAGTACATTTTCTGAATAGATGATCACATTCTTTCCATTACACCATTGAATGAAGTGTTGATATGCAGCTAAATACTTTTCACCGGATTTCGAAGGTCCGAGGCACGATACTGCTTCATTCGCCTCAACGGTAATTTCGGGCGGCGTGCATTGCATTCTAAAACTAACTAATTTACACTATCTTTTTAGTGATTTAATTAACTTACTTCTTTCTTATCGAGAAATCTTTCTTATTCAAAATTACGAACTGACATGTAATTTTTTCACTCAATAAAATTATTTACTGCGTAACCAAGGAAACAGCACATATGCACTCATGTAAAGGAAAACAAACTTACCTACTTGACAATGACGTTTAATTTAACGAAAGCGATTAATATCCCTTAAAAACCTGGTGTTTTGGATAAATTTGCGGAAGTTTGAAGAAAAAATAGCATATTTTATTTGGAGGAGAAGTTACTTTTCATGGCTTGCCTTCTATTAGCCGCCTCACTCCGTTCGGCGGCTAAACACAGGCGCGCCATGAAAAGTAATACTTCTCCTCCACATAAAATAATGTACTATTTCCATTAACATGACGGAAAAGTATTGATTGACACACTCGTTTTTTTTATAACTTCTTATGTGTAAAAACAGAACAATTTGTTGCTTAACAAGGACTGTGGTTGATAGAAATTAATTCTTTTCGCGGTGATCTTTCGTTAGAGTACGGAACACGGAACACCTTGTATATTGTAGTAATTTACAATTCTGCGATACATACTTATCCTATTACGAAGGTTTTAAAGATGTAACGCAAATAGACCAATGAAGCATGCGGCAAGGAATACGGCTTATTGGTCCACAAATCTAGGAAAATGTGCAAATGTAAGAAATTTATGAACTTGTGAATTTCCTTTTTCTTATAAGGTCTGTGAATTGGTGTAATGTTTTCAGGATCCCTTGAGAATTCAATCCAATTGAAATTCGATGTGTAGGAAAGGATAAACGGGTAGCTTTGTAAAAATCACATTTAAATCTTCTGAAAAAAAATTTATTCTTAGACATAATTATTTGTTTCTCAACATTGGAAGTTATAACAATTCTTACATTATGCTTTAAAGTAAGCGGATTAGAAATTTTAAGGGTTTTCAAATATTAATTTATTCTAACAAGAATGGAAATAATGGGATATAACTATAAGTCGTAACAAAAAGCTCGCTCTCTTGTAATTAAAAATTTATTAATTGTGCAAAGTCTTTATAATTAAATCCAAAAATGATTATTTATATTTGAATGGACGAAGAATATAATAAACATATTTTAGAAAAGTAAGTCTGTATAAAATGAGTCTATTATTTTTGTTACTAGATTCTAGTGACATTTCCAGTGTAAATCAGGTTTTTAAATCCGTCTTCCTAGTTAAAAAACAGAGTATAGTACGTACCTATTTCTTGTTACATATGATACGTAAGTATACCTATTGTAGTTCGCCATTATAAGTTTCGACAAAATCTTACTCGCAGTTTCCCTTGTGGCCCCAATTTACGTTATAATGGTAATCGATTAATTTTCATAAATAGGACGTCAACTGCAGGTGATAGGTGCTTCATAAATTCTGTTACCCTCAAGATCTATTATCATACTCCCAAAGTGGGGATAATGATTGATTTATGGAGATTAACCAACCGGACCTTTCAAAATTGTTTAAATTGCTCACGTCTATATTCTAATTGCACTACTAGCATGAAGGAAACAAGAGGATGCTTATAGTGGAATTCTGCATCCTCTAGAGACATTAATTAACGGTTTCTATGTTATTTTGATAAATAAAAATTTACTAGTATTGGTTTATGCCTACAAAACAAAATGAATTTAATTAGCAATTAATTGAACAAAATCTTAATAATTCACACTGTAAATCCTCTGGCAAATTCAGCTGGGAGATGGCTAAACGAAGAGTCAATATGATATAATTTATATAGCACACGTGAAGGTAGGTTATTGATGTTGCATGTTTTGAGTTAAACTTATCTGATGATAACATTTTATGTGAATACATTTGTTCCCCGGGAAATTAATTGTTAGATTTATCTGTGTCATGAAAAATCTTTCCGATGTATCAAAATTACGACTGACTATCCCGTGGTGAACAAGGAATGATTATCAATATAAACCGATTATATGGGTCTGTAGTACCAAAGAGTATACAACTACTCTTTGGTAGTACCTATATTATTACTTATTTATTTGACCCCTTTGGACGAAACATTATGCAAACATCGGAATATCTGCATATATCGTACAAAAACAATAATTCCATCCTCTAGCTTATATTCCTTATACTTATATTTTTGGAAAAACTACAGTATTATATTCGTTATGGCTGGATGGCTGTCCGGCTGAGATCTCAGTGGCTTCTGAGGGACGGGGAAACTCTAGGGAAAACTTATACGGACCAAGAATTTGTGTGTACATACACATTTTTAATTTATACAAAAAGAAAAAAATATATCGGGCGATCAAAAATGAGTCACTGTCGAATCACCTCGAGTCACCTAAACAAAAATTCCAAAGGTGACTCCAATGTCAAATTTATGTGTTTAAAGCTTTAATAGGACTGATAAGAGGCTCCACTGTTATGGGGGATGCTTATACGAAAAGTATTTAAAATGATTAAATATGGTTTGCCGTAAAATAATTTAGGTAGGTATACGACTATTTACGATAATGATTTTGATTGTGATGATTTTGAGTATAGAACGTATACCCTCAAATACAGCACTCCCTTTCCCCATCCAAACTTTCATCATCTCGGAATTTTAAATATTAAGCCCGACTTATTTTTTCACGGTGATTTTCCATTTATTCCATCATTTCATTAATATGATTCTTTCTGTTGCCATTATTACTGTATCGCTTGCGTATAGGAGGGTCCATTATATCTACCTTCTTCGTACTACATCTCCCCCCACTTCGACCCTGCTTAATATTCTTCGATATCACTTGTAAGTATATTAGGTACGATAAATAGTGTTTGAGTGGACATTCCTGATTAAGCTCTTTTAGGAATACCTCTCTGCCTCCTGATCACTTACTCCCTACTTGTTGTCTATTCGTATATCTCATTTATTCTGTTTTTTAATTTATGCCTATTTTTCTCTTTTTCAGCATTTTTCGAGCATTTTTCCCATTCTACCCTATCAAAAGCCGCCTTTGAATCCGTGCTATTTCTCTCCTAATATTTTGTAGTTCTTTTTCCGCCAGTCCACAGTGTATTGTTTTTGTCCAATAGCCTCTGTTTTCACTTTCCTTTTTGATAGTCATCCTTCTTTCAATATGTGATATGTCTCGTTCCTCAGATCATCCTTCTCAACCGCCTGCCCTCTCTTGTCTGTCCATTTCTACTCTCTCTTTCTTCTCACATTCTCCTTGATATCTCTCTTCTTCCCCATCACTTCCTCTTTCTTTTGCTTCCCTGTATCAACTTAAAATCTCTTCATCTAATTAGCTTCCAGATATCTGTGTTGATTCCTTTTATTTACTTTTTACATTCTTTTTTAATGCATATTTTCTCTACACTTTCATTGCATAATTAAACTGGGTGAATCAAAACAGTTCCGTTTTCAAGGAGAAACGAATTTCTTGCTCGACACGCACGTTTTCAGGTCGGATAGTACCCAGGGCTTATGGAAGAGTTCGTGGGAATCACACAACTTCGAACTTCGGCAGTTCGCACGCAATTGATGAGCTTTTAAAATTAAACGGCGTAATTAGTTAAATTAAATTTAATTAAGTATATAGAAAGTATCCATTCACAATTAAATTAAGTATAAATTTAATCACTTCAAATTCGAACGGAATCTGACGGACGGACGGACTCGAGCGCCCCCAAGAAATGAGGACTTGCTCCTGGACAAGATTTCGGAACGGCTGGCAGCGACTATCGGATCTGAAAGCAGAATTACGGACACAGTAGCGATTGTCCTACCGGAACCGCAAGCACAAATTAATTAACGGTAGATAGGTACGGGAAATCAAAGTCAAGAAGAAAGCGAAACGATATCCCCATTTATAACTGATGGAACATAGGTAAAGCAGCAAAAAGCGTACCCTGAAATTATAGCGGTAGAAATTTCTGTGAAAAAAGTAAATAATCCAATATAATCCAAAATAAATTGACAGAAAGCATCCACAATTAATACGGCATCGGCAGTACAAATGTCACTACCAAAACACCGAAGGCAAAAGATCTTACGTTTCGATTAAAATCTGTAATTAGTTTTAATATTTAAATTAAGAGCGCCTCTTTTGAGACCCCTCGAAAATTAATCGGATGCTGTTTTCTGCATCTCATTTAATCAGCTACTGTTAATTATACTCATTTAAACAGGCGAGATCAAATTTCCAAATTAAGTAATCCAATTCATAATTGGAACGTTGGGATTAGCCGGCGGGGTCGGCAATATAAAACTGATAAATATGTAGACCGTACGGCCTCGACTGCTTTTAAGCTTTTTTTTTATAATGACTTAACTCCTACGACAAACGCTTTTAGACGTAACAAAGGTATATCTTGACGGGAGCGGCTGCAAACGGCGAACTAAGTACAGTTTTTGTTTACAGTAACGGAGCTGTATATGACTATTTGGATCAAAAATGGTTAATCGGGTTTTATTAGTAAAATAAATAAAATGACATACAAGGCAACTTTCTTTTTAATTACCTACATGAGAAAGTGACAGGTGCAACTAGCTGGTGATGCGATTCCGTCCTACCTACTTCCTCCAGTCTTTTTTTCATTTACAATGATTTACTGTATTACCATGTGTATTGTTATCCTGTTTCCGTTCACCGTTCTCCTTTTTTTGGCAGTTGTAATATAAACTATCGTTATTTGTCACATTCTTTACCTCTTGTTGTTTCCGCTTGTTTCCATTTTCCATACACATTTTTTAATTTCCTACCCTCTACCATTACTATTCTACTTTACCTTCGTCTAATCCTTCCTCTTATTTTTATCACTTATAATTGCACAAGAGGTTTGTATTTTACCGAGTAAATTTGGAATGAAAATCTGTTGCCTAGCAATTAGACGAGAAAAACTGTCAACTAATAAAAATGCGACACCGCAGGTGGAGCATCTTTAGGTTGACAGTTTTTCGAGTTCAATTACTAAAAGGAAACAGATTTGAATTGCAACAACCCACATTTACTCGGTTTAAATACAAACCTCCAGTGTAAATCGGCAGGACAATTTAACGAACAAGAAATTAACCAAGCTAATCAATTATTGACAGACGTCAAACTAGTCATATGGGAAAGAATAATGCGATAATTGGTTCGAAAATGAATAAGTGAAAAAACCACTAGTGCATTTGTCGCTGGAAAAGTTTCAGGTAACTTTTGCCGCTGTCAAAGTGACAATTGCACTGCGGCTTATGCGATTTTTTGTACATGAGTTGAATTGTCCCTGTGATTATATAGCACCTTTTTATCCCTTTTTATTCCTCTTTACGAATTGGTTCTTCCATCTGAACTTTTTTTGGCAAAATATTTTTTTATTTTATCGCGGTTTTTTCTTCTATTAGGTACTATCTTCTACAAATCCATTACCGTCATGTTGTGACAGACTTGCAAAGTGCACTCAATTGAATATATCAAAGGTGAATCAAAAGGTGAAAGGTCATTTACCTGCACATCTTGAAAAAATGCTTTTTTAGTCACCACGAAAAAAGTGGTTGAGTTGCCCTCGCTCGTGCCGAAGATACCTCGGAAGTGGAGGTAGAAAGGAGTGAGCGAGAAAGGGAGACGAGAGTAGCGGATTTTTGATTATTTATATACCTAGTCTTTTATATTACAATATTTTTTAAAAATAAAAATAAAAATAATAAAATCCATACAAAAAATTCCCTAGTTTTGGACTGGCAAATTTTAATCAGTAGGGATTGTTTTCTAAGGGTTGATAAAATAAATACTTCAAATCATGAAAAGGTTGTTTTATACTTTGAACTAAAAAAGATATAAAGAAAGACTCTACCCAAAAATCAAAGCAAAACCTTTAGTTCCATTCTTTTGTGGTTATGGCTGCATAAACAAAGAAAGAAGAAAGATTAAAGAAATGAAATACAATTTAAACATTATAAGTTGAAATAAATACATCCTTATATAAATATTTATTAGGACACATTTTATAACGCTCATTAAAATTAAACATGTTAACAAATAACAAAGATGCGACGTGTTAAACAAATAATTTTTACAAAACTCCTCCGTTACCAAAATAGCAAACTTAGGCATATACTCAGTGGATTTTTTCTTACAACAGGTACATGCAGTTCATGAGGATTTATAGTTAAGCGGTACGTACAACCTTACAATGTTACTTGGTCTTTTAAGCGTCTATATGTACAATTAATACATTAGGATAATTTTTTTACAGTTGACATATCCTTAAAGGATTACATTCGATGAAACACGAATAATTTGACGTTCGATTTTTACTCAAACAGTTTGCGCTGGGGGTATACCGTTGCTGCCTACAGGTACGGCGTTAGAAGTTCGTCTGCTGGCAATCCATTGCGAAGCCCTACGGCCTATCGATCCTAGTCATACTTTTTCTTCAGTTCCTCCTGGATACCCAGACGTGCGAACAAACTATTGAAGAAGTTAGAAGTTATTAACACACTTAACAAGTTTCGAAACTTGTAAACTCCTTTCAGATTGCACGACAGAATCAAGTCTGTGTCTAATTTAAATTTAAAATGGATTTTAAATGTAAAAGTTTTAAAAAGGTAGCACGGACTATGTACCTATATGTGCACTACTAAGTAATTTACTCGAAAGCATCTCGCTACATTTAACATGCATTATATATAAATGTACAAGGGGGTATCTACCTTACGTACCGAGACGGTGGTTACTGTACACGAATTTGCTCTGGTGCGAAATGTCGCTATTTGCCATTTTCGCCTCATTTGCGCTAAAACCTGAAACAATTACAGTATTAATAAAATTCCATACGCATATACGAGTAGGTACCTACAGTGTGAAAACGTAATTGGAAATGCGGACGCTATCGTTGCTAAAGGGAACGAGTTACGTGCATTGGTTCAAAAAGGTACAAGACGGAACGTGGTATCGCAACATTGAAGGTGTTTATAGCATTTAGTATTTTGTTCTTCATAAAATTTTTTAGAGGCAATTGCCCCCCGATATTATTAAAATTACTAATTGCAGTGTGTTCTCGAATGAAATTTATAAAGTAGCAGAAAATCTCATTTCTGCACATAGACATATACCGTCTATTTTAATTTATTTCGCGATTTTCAAAATATTTCAGTGCAAAGCGAAATGAGATGAAAGGATATTGGCTAGGATATTGGCGCTAGATTCACTACGACGTCAAAATTTATATTTATAGTGATAGACATTGTAAGATGATAAAAGTAGAGGTGTTTTATTGTGTGGAATCCGATAACCTTTAGCTTTATTTTCATATAAATTTAGCAGGCGCGTATAAAAGAAAATGGTCCTGGAAAGGATAATGATTGTTAATTTTTGTTTGTCATTATTTTCTGTTTAACAATTGGTCTAGATAAGAAAATATAATTGACAACTTCATATGATAAAACATGTGACTGTGGAAAAGGTGTGGGTTTGAAGAAAGATGAATTTGTTGTGGGCAGATTTAATTTTTTAATTTCAGAGATTTCAGACGTTGGTAATTTTTTTTACTTGGTGTGCGTGCTTACGAACCCAGTAAATTTAGAGTCTTGCGTAATTTGGGCAAGCTGAGTGTGTAGTTTAAACATTGTTTATGAAAATAAATGCAATTAAATGTTGTTTGCACAACTAGTTTGAAATTGTTTATGTTTCTGGTGTAAATTGTTGATTAGTTTATGTTCTGATTACATGATCTTGGTTCCTTCAATTTATATATTTAATCATTCGTGTAAATTTGTAGAAGTTATCGAATTGTTTGATGACGGATTTGTAGTTTGTAAACTAACATTTTCGCGGTGAATGAGGCGGTTTCGGGAGTGACAAATAACTGAAACCACATTAGTTACGATACCCAATGCCGAAACTGACCTCGACTTCCAACTGTAAGCTTGAATTTCCTGGACGAAGGGGAAGTTACCTATCTCGGGGGCGAGATCCTGCCAACAACGAGCAATCAGATTGGTGGGTACGGCATCTGAAGTTGGGTGTAACCACTTATACCTTTGAGTACTCTATTTCTGAACAAATACATAATCCTCGGCAATAAATAGCAAATTATTTGCTACACACATTTTACTAGGGTTTCACTAATTGAAGTTGGCATACCCACCCATTTTTTTTGGTTAATATTGCGATCGTTTAAGTACCACACATTTTATTAGCATTAAATTATGCCCACCTCACGGATATTCAGTCAATTCAGTTTTACATTTTTCTGAAAAACAAAATTTGAATGAAATCGTTTGTAGAAACTTGTCTCTTACTTAAATTTACGTAATGTCATTTTTGATGCACCTAATTCAATGTCAAATGTTATTCTACAGTATCAATGCGCGGTAGAGTATTGGTCAATTGATACTAAAAATTCAATTGAGGGGTCATGTTTTTTTTCAGTACAAATTAATAGCAGGTTTCCCACTCTGTATGTCTGAGTGAAACAAAGCTACCCTAAAGATACCACCTATTCGGCACTCTCTTCCAAACCATTAAACCTAACTTTCTAACAACTCTAACTAATCCCTGGATGTTTTTATCTTTTTCTTGTAAACATCCTTTGCCATTAAGGGCTGTTTACGCAATACAAAGAGTGAATAATAAAACGACAAAAGTTTGGGAGGTAGACTGAAATTACAATGTAACTTACGTAGCAGGATCAACACACAAACCACTGTTTTCATTTTATGATTATAAACAAACTTGACGAGAGTCTTAATGAGATTAATTTAATATTAGGAAAAGCTTTGGTGGAGGTTTCAGCTCGCGACTTACACAAGTAGTACCGAAATTCAGTTGGAAAACTTTTCATGTTTGGTTACGATTTTCTTGCACCGTTTGCACACCGCCACAATTTAATTATTTTTCCTCGTGCAACCCCAAGACGCTTTGAGTGCAGTACAAATTATAGGGTATGGGTATATACTACAAAATAATATGCAATTAAATACTTACCTCGCCGTTACAAAAACAGAAGAGTATCGCTACACAAAGGCCCTGAAACAATAAATCTGTTAGTGAAATGTAATATTGGATTATACTCAATTACCATTTAACAAACAATATTGTTGATTATATTATTGAATAAAGTGGTTTTATTTAATGATTATATACAATTACAGAGACAGATCTCCCATTTGGTAATGAACGAGATTTGTTCTCATTATAAGTGAGATACAATATTACGGCAAGTATGGCCTACGAATACGGAAATAATGAAATGATACTCCATAACATACCAGAAGATGTTGAGTAGTATTAACGTCAGGACCTTCTGTACTGAAGGATGACAATTATTATTAGGTACCAACATGGTTATTCGAGCCGGATCAAAGTTCTTCATAGAGGATAAATAAATTGATTAACGTAACGGTATGCATTTTTAACAATAATAAAATGAGACAATAGAATAAGTCTGTTGGTAATCGATTCCTTTCCATTATTTTATTATATTATCATTATCAAGTCAAAATGGGTTATTTTGATCTTCAATACCTAATGCATTAGGGTAATCGTCGGAAGATGAGTTAGTAACCAACAAGTTGCAATTGAATTTTCATCAGCCGTCAAGCAATTTTTCCACACCATAGTCAATACTAAGCATTTATAAACACACCAGTAAAATTTTGTAAATTTGGAACCCACAAACGAAACTATGCCGAAATTTTGGGAACTGGAAAAATTTCACCAAATGAAGCCAATGATGCTCCTAGGGAAAAGTTTTAGTCAAATTAATCAGACATCAGTAGGTAACAGGCGAACGGTAAGATTTATATGTAAGTGGAGGGTGAGTGAATTGTGTTATTATGGTCGGTATGCGTGATTAGAGACGTTTCTCAATTCAGTTTTTCCCATACAAGTGAAGTTAATAGAAGTGTAGATAGTTTATTGTTTATTCTCTGCGGAATAGGTTTTTTAGGCTTAGTTTGTTGGTATGTTCAGTCAGTTAAAATTTTATGTTAGGTCAGTCAGCTAAGGGCAAAGCACCCGGTTCTCTTTGTTGTTTTTCAAATTCATTCGCATAAGGAATTTTGTTTTAAGTAACTTTAATATTCCTATAGGAATCGACCAGCGAAAATTATTTGCGTGAAATAGATTTAGTATTGTATTTATTGATAAGAATCGAATTCAAAAAAGGATTTTCGTTTTGCTTCATTTATCAGAAAATTGCATTTAATTTCAGTGATACCGTTCCTTTGTTTAGCATCCAGAGGCATTTTGAACAGAAGAATGTACCAATAAGTAAAGATGAATTTTTTGGGTAAGGATCAAATTTACCATTGTCACGTGATTACGAGATAAGCATTGCATGTTTTGTATTTATTTTTATGAGCCAAACCAAGTTCCCATGCGTATCTGAGTTCAATTAAACCAGAATATTAGATTTTATGCAAGTGAAGAGAGAAATAACAAAGGCGACAGGAAATATGAAGGAGAAGATGTCGATGAAAGAGGTAGAAGAAATGAAGAGAAGGGATAAACAATGGATTTGGCCCCTTTAATACCAATGTAGTATAGGTACATATAGGTGAACTGTGCACAGTTTGAACCGATCGGCCCAAGCGTTTGTTAGTTATCGTGTCCGGACGGGACGGACACCACCGACTCCCTTATAATTCAATCGCGTTGCTCTGCTGCTTAATAAATTAATGATAGAAAACAAATAAAGATAGAAAAACGAAAAAAAAAGAATTCGTGAGAACAGATAATAAAAGAACATGGGAGAAATGGCTGGGGTTTAGAGGAACAAAAGAAACGGGGCTGAAAGTAAGGAATATACGAAAAAAGAAATCGGGGATAAAAGAGGAAGGTAGTCATCGATGGTGAGCATTTCTTGTAAGATAATACGAATGCGAGCAGTGGAAGGTGGACAGAAGGGAAGTCATAGGAAAATTTTACGGCACGTTCTTGTGGTGGTAACACTACAACCTCACCAAAGAATAGAAACCATGACGTGTGTGCAAACAAACAAAAATAATAACAAAATAGTCATCATCATCATCGCTATATTCGCAACGTTGTATATCATTTCAGGTCAAAAATCTTTCGGAGTGATTAAGCCTTACTTTTCAATATGATGGCTAAATATGGCACATAAGTTGTTTTATTTTTCATTTGCCTATTATATGTCAATTATATCTGTCATATGTGATATATGAAGCAGTCTATTACGCCCAAGGGCATAATGAGAGGGCATAATGGATTGTCATCTCCTTATGCCCTCAAACGGCCTGTCAAATTGATTGACGGAGTTATATTATGTCATAAAAAAGATGCAACTTGATTCGTATGAAGCACTTTAATGTTGGGCAAACAATAATCATGACATTTGTATATTAGAAATGTATTCTTTGGAACGATGAAAAATAAAATGTTGTATGCACCTCAGGCATTACTCAATATTTAACCCTCGGGCGACTTACAATCCCTCGGGCCGGAGGCCCTCGGGCTCTGTCGCCCTCGGCATAAAAATATCGCCTTAATGCCCTTGATGCATAAATAACTATTATGCAGCCCAAAGAAAACACTTAAAGCTGAAAATTGTCCCAATTTTTTTGTTACTTTTTTGATATTTAGTTTCTTAAATAAGCACTCTGAAACTTAATTATTCATCTATACGAGTATATATTGCGTGGTGCTGGTGGTTTCATACATCACGTCTTACTTGTTAATGAAAATTATTGATAGAAAGTAAGAAGTCACCTGGTTTCGAGTTGCCACCCTGAATGTGAAGGGCTGAAACATTCCTTCAGAGATATCAAGCATAAATTGAAACCGCCAACTTTTGCTGTAGCATTACTTTGCGAAATCAATACAAATGTAATTTATTAGTAGGTCTCAGTTATAAAGTAACCACCTACAAATACCAAATTGAAAGGAGTGGTTTAAAGATGGTAGAAAGAGTGAATTTTCTACCATGATATTATAGTTAAAGTTACTCAAAATGTTGGAAAATTAATTAATTTTGGAATATGAGAATATATGAGTATGTACTCGTAGATAATAATAATGTTTGCTGAAATTACCCAGAAATGCGTTCCGTGACTGGCGAAATTTATTGCACTAAATTTAATTTTCCACCTTGATAACTTACATTATGCATGATGGTTGTAAAAGCGATCGCCTACTGAATGTCGACAAATCACGATCCCCAAGCGGATAGCGGAATTTACTTGTTCGATTTCCTTCCATCGTTATTTACAGAAATAATACCCGACTTATACCTGATCTCAGCGATTTTATGATGAAAAATTGGATAGACTTTGTCTTAGGTACGCATCCCATTCAATATAAAAATAAATGGCTGTTCTACTATAAGCCAACCAATTGCTATCGTGAGACCGCTTCTTCAAAATTTGTAGGCATTCTTTTCCGCGTAAGTTGTTTTCCAACGGTTCGATTGTTTCCACTAACATCCACGCATTCTATTGTCGCTGTAAATTTTGTGTAATTGGTTGAGCTAAACACTTCCATTGAATGGAACTAGTGCAAATGGTCGATGATTTACTACGTATCTGGCAACATATTTAAATATACAATTGAGATAAATATTTGGAGGGTTGACTGTGGTGCACCTATCAAGTTAAAACTTCGCCAGTTCGCCCCTACTCAATGGACGCGTAGATAAATATAAAACGCACTAGGAATTTGGAACTTTTGTCATTTCGCTTGTCGTAAGTACATTAAATTATAGAGCTAATTTTTGCATTTTTTAAATTTAAATTTGCAAATGCAGAAAATAGATTGGTTCCATATCTTTCACTTGTATATTTAGGAACTGAACATAGGAGATTTGTATGTTCAGAGAAATTTAGGCACTGTCTTCAAAAGACATCAATAAAAACAATTAAACCCTAAAATTCCACCATTTGGAAAATATTTTACTTCGATTCAGTTTTCAGCGAGAACCATAAGTACAACTTTTCAAAACTTTCCCAGAAACCCTCAATTAAAGCACCCAAAAAACAACCTGTATGCGTTTTACTACTCATAATAATTGAAGCACAACATGATACGAAAAGGATTAGATCTAAAATTGGCAGAGTCGTGTAGTACGAAATAAAACACAGTTATTAATAGAACAGTGCAGATTGTAAGATCAATTATCAAAAGATAAAAACAGTTTCCTCTGTATACGAGCAAAAATGGTGTTGTGTTATTAGGATTGATGATCATTGCTTAAATTACAAGTGATTGAACGTTCAAATTTTTTTAATCATGAGGAGCCAGATACCTTCAAAATAAAACCGATGATCAACGATTAGATGACTTATTACTCATGAGAACAACCATTACGGCGGATTAAACACTTTACAAGCAATTTACTAAAAGGTTTCATTCAAGATAAACTGGAAAGATTATAAAATCAATACGATCCTATTTTCATTACATTTTTCATTTCTCTAACACGTTACATCAGTCGGTGTTAAAAACACAATTTGACATTATATTTTCTCATCACCTCTCAGGTTAAAGTTCTAGATGTTTTATTACCGAACAGAGAGTTTCCGACAAGGGAGTACAAATTCAATTAATTTTGATAGAAATTCGGTCAAGTCGCTGATGTAATTATGCATTCAGCTCAACTGAAAAAATTGAATTGGAAAATTTAATTAAGGAAAAGACGTCTGCAAAATTTAGACCATTAATATTTAAGACTGTCAGTATGGGTGTTCGCTTTAATTACTAATAATTACACAAACCTGTAAGGAAGCAGTTACGGCGGATACGACTTCGTAGGCACGTTCCCAGGGGTGATTCTCTTCCGGTCTAAAAGGAGTCAGTAGGAAATTTAACCCCAATAATGGCACCAGAAGTAACGTAGCCCTGAAACAAAAACACGTGGGTTAGTTTGTAGTAACCGGAACAGCTGCAGAGTGATTTAGCATTTCGTTTTGTGTTCATGGCGTTGTAATTAGTTACTTTAAAAATGTGCACGCGACTGAGTTTTTGACAACTTTTTGATAGTAATCGACGCCCGACGTGAATTGTATGAAATTATGAATTACTGTTTTATTTAATGATTTAAAATAGTATCTGAAACAAATTGTTTGTTGAATGCATTTTCCAAAGACGTTTCAGAATATGACACAATTTTCTATCTCTGCACCTTGCGGAACCCGACAACAACATTCTTACATAGGATACTTTACTCCAAATTATTACACATGTGATGGTATTTAGACCTGCGTTGTGGGTACCCCGTGATCTAAGCCCCTTGCACCTTGTACTTTTTTTTTCAATTAATTCCATAATAGTCAAGAAAAACTATTATTCCTTCATGACTTATCGTCTATTAACTCAAAATCAATAAGTCGTGATTCAACAACATTGAACTAGTGTTATGAACGACTTTGAGGATCAGAAAGCTAACAAAGAAAGCAAGTAAGTGCAGCTAACAGGAACAGCTCATAAGGCGTTACCTATGCTTTAGGAATGAAACTTAATAAGACCCTTACGTCAGTTCTAGGACGCAGTGGAAAAAAAAGAAGACTTTGGAAAGAGCTTAGCGCTTTGGAAGATCTAAAGCTCTTTAGAAAGAGCCTATAAAGTTCCGAAAAACGTTTGAAAAGTTATGGAAAGAATTGGCCTGTTGTATTCCCAACCTATCGTAAAATGCGACAAAAATGAACCGAATGATTCCCGGGATAAGGACTCAACTCTCATAAAGTCCCAACGGTTTCATGTCGGAAGAGCGGTTGGGAGAAGGGTACCCTCTTGTCCTTGTAGAGATAAATCTCTCCAAAAGGCGATTGGACAACTAAAGTCAACGGCATAGCATGCAGAAAACAACGGGAAACCACTGCATTAAAGATCTGTTGATATGCCACGTAGATGGCAGAAATGAGAAATGAAAAAAAAATGGATACTTCGCATATTAAGTTAATTGACGTAAAATGTCTTGTCTCTTCAATCGGATTTCCGGGAGGAGAAATATACGAAGTGTGCATCCAAAAACAAAGAGAGGAATAGGATTAGATTCGGGACCTGGGTCGTGGAATGTTAAAACTCTTCTCTTCAAGGCGAAAAACCTAAAAAGAGGAATGCTAAGAGCTAATTTTGACTTTATTGGTGTCAGTGAAATGAGAGGGTGGATGTCGAGTAAAAAAAGGAGAATATTTCTCCTTCTATTATAGTAGAGATACAAAAGGAAAACTTATGGTTAATAAGGAGGTACAGTCAAGATTTGCCAAAATAATAGCCGATTATGACAGATCGATAGGAATGAAAGAAATAGAAACACTGTACGAAAGAATGAAGAGGAAGAAATCCCACAGCCGTTATGGAGGCCCTTCTGGATCTGCCTCCACTCGGTTCTTCATATTAAGGAAAAACTGTCACATCTTTCATCCCAAACAGACACATTTACTCCAAAGAACTGGACTTCCATATCACGTACCCGACGACTAGGAAAACTAGCTTCGTACTGTATTTCAATCAGAGTTTGTAGGACTACATCAGATATTCTTTACGTATATCTGTGGTAGGACTAACTTAGTGCAAGAAAACCACATACTTTGTGAATGTCCCGCTCTAATCCAACTGAGACGATCTCACGTGTAGGATGACTTGAGTGGCGGTGAGGGGTCGAACGACTCTACTTAGGAAGGGCTCGAATTTGAGGCCTAGGTCCGTGTGGACCCTGTTCACTATCTCATCGTGACCTGAATCCAGTAGTAGGGAAGGACATGGATGCTGTAAGATTGTGATGGAGGATTGGAATGCCACTGTGAGAAAGGAGGAGGTTACAGGAGTGATTGGAAAATACGAACTCGGAGAAAAGAATGAAAAAGGAGATAAGTTGATTGAGTTTTGTGAAGGTTGAAATAATTGGACAAGGATGAAAGAGGATGTAAATTGTAAAGAAAAATAAAAGCGTGGGACGGATCAGCAAGGATGGAAGAAAGTATGGAGAAACATGGTCAGAAGATAAAGGAAGGTGTAATAAAATTTGCTAAGAGCGCATCGGTTTCAACAAGGGACCAAGAGTACAGAAACCTTTAATAACAACAAAAATGATAAATAAGATGGAGGAAAGCAGGAAAGCTAAAATTTAAGACAGACGAAAAGGATTGTACAGAAAAAGTTACACTGAACTAAGAAAAGAAACGGATAAAGCAAGAACAGCGTGATTTGAAAAGGTATGTAGGGAAATAAAAGAACTGGAGAAATTAGGTAGACATGATTTGGTATATAATACACTGAAGAAAAATACGCTAGATAGGGAGAGAAAAGGTTGAGCTATGAGAGGGATAGAAATAGAAAATAAGGATGGCAAGTAGTCGAGAATGTCAACATAGGCGAAGGCATTCATTCAACGGAAGTAATGGCAGTCATAAAAGAAATGAAGAATGGGAAGGCAGCAGGAGTTGATAATATTCCCATGGATTTATTGAAATGTCTGCAAGAACAAGGAATCAAAGAAATTAGATCTCTTTGTAAAAAAATCAACGAAAATTCAGAAATAGTGACACTACCTGAGGCAAGGTACAAAAAAATGTTCAGAATATGGAACAATCAGCCTAGTGACATACACAGCAATGATCTTACTGAAAATACTGAATAGAATTTTGGAGAATATCGTGTAGGAATTGTTTGGTTTCACAAGAAGAATGGGCACAAGAGGTGGGAACTATCGGCGGAAGATATTTGGAAAAAGGAAAGACCTTCGGTGTAGCTTTTGTTGACATCCTAAAGGCATTATAGAATTGGGTAAACTGGGAGAAACTGTTGGGCATACTAAAGAGAAAAGGTGTCACCTGGAGAGAACGCTCGAGCTCCTGGGTTTGGCTATAGCATGTGCAAAACCAAATTTTGAAATTGGCATTAAATTTGCTTTTATTGCAAGTGCCTATGTATCAAATTTCATCTAAATACCTTCGCATAAATAAGAAAGTTTGCAATTCAGTTTATAAATGGTCGAGATGCGAAGAGGGCAGCATTGTGAATGCTGATCGATCAGACTTAGATTTGCGTTTGATTATAATTATAGGTACTTAGTTTTTACGCATTTGAAATATTATACCTGCACGCCTGTACTGTATCGATCCCCATTGTAAAAGTGAAGGTAATTAATCCCCAAAATAAAGCGCGTGAAAGCCTTTGTCACGTTTGTACCTAATATGAAATGTGTAAAATTTTCTAATTTTGCACCGCAAATGTCTTCATTTTAAAAAGCGACATGTAGGTAATTTGTAACACTTGAACGCGTCGGTTTTGTATGCGGGTGTAGCGAGAAATAAGACGTATGGTCCATTTAGGAACTGCTTTTTTATCTATTGAAAAATTGCCGTTTTTAAACTGGCACTTGGTAGTTATATCCTTTCCGTTGCATGATTTGTTGTTGGTAGTTAACTTTGATAAAGTGGTTTAAATTTGACGTTTTTGCAAAATGCCCAATAAGTTTTGTAATTTGTCTGTTTCTTTAAGCTTATTTAAGTTATTACGATAAGTCAATTTATTATTAGCGGCGGTATTTTTGTTGAAACGTGCAGGTTTTCGCAAATGTAAAGAGCGGAAATATTATCGCTATGCAAATGGCTTAAGCTCATGAAACACTTCTCCCCAATTTTTCTCTATTCTACTTTACCACCTGCCTGATACGGTTTTTCGTATTATTTATTTTCACAGTTTTCTGAAGTGGCAGGCGTAAAATGGTTGTCTCGGGGGCGCATTATATACGTTTGAGCAATGTTCGAAAAGCACCTTTAATAATAAAAATGAACGTCTACTTGCATTAAACAAGCGCTATGGTACCTCCACATATCGAACCACTTTATATAATTGCAGTTTTGATAAAAAAGAAGATAGAAATAAGCTGTAAGTTATTTTTTCTATTGTGATTTTAAACTGCTTTTATTATCACACCATATTTGCTTTCTGTTGGAGAATGGATATCATTACCGCATTGTTGTGAAGTATGAAATGGAGAAACGAACGAAATTCACTGCTCAGTAATTTCATGATATTTTGCTATTCATTTGCCGTCTAAAGAGGTTTTCGAGAAATCCACACTTTGACTCACCAATTGATAATATATTTCTAGCAGACGTCCCAATCGCTCTTTGTGAGTCTCTGCTCCGACAATCCGCTCTTGAGATATAAGGAATTTTGACCGATCAAAGTAAGAGGTCGAGGAGGAGGAGAATGCTTGGTAGAAATTTCATCGAGATCTTTCATTAGAGTACCATGAAGGATAAAGGCAGTGTTGCCCTCTCCAAACTCCTCAATTTTGATAAGGGGTATCAGAGAAGGGCCCAATTTCAAAAGTATTCAGTGGCATGCGTATGCATAATGTCAGACTAATTGGTTGACCCATGTAGGTGTAAGTTATGCACGTTCTACTTTCAGAAACGGCTCGAGAAATAGACCGTCTGGCACACCTTCAAGGTTTAATACCTTGCGACCTATTGCAAAAAATTCCAGGCATTTACGACAGTAAAAGTAGTTCAAATCCGCAGAAGTGGGTTCGAACAGACAGACGGATGGACGAACGGGCAAAATGAAAACAAAAGTACGATTTTTTGATCCTCAAAAATGCGCTAAAAATTGAATGTATGGAACTCT